GCCTTTTCTCTGCCGAGTACATTTCTTAACCTCTTGATGTATGTCAGACAAGCAAGCAGAGAGAAGCTCATAAAGAACATTTATCTTCCTCTGATGGCTAAGCAACGTTACTTCCTCAACAGATTTGTCATCTTCAACAACTTCAGGGTTGTGGCTTCCATCTCTAATAACCACACCAGCCTCAAGACTCTCTGTTTCAGCAGCAGCAGCCGCCTCCTTCTTCTCCTTCTCCTTATCCTTATCCACATCTTTTGATTTTACCTCAGGAACTGCATATTTCTCACGGCATTCGTTTTCGTATTCCTGATGCTTCTCCTTCTTAGCATCTATAGATAGAGAGCTTTGAATGCTTTGCACCATGGCGTCAGCAGCTTTAGCTAAGGCCATCTCTTGCTCCACCATCTCTATTGACGCATCACTCGCTTCTTCGGAGAGCAACCTCGTGAACTACAGTAAATCAGAAATAGAAAGTTAGTGGAAATACTCATCAGAGATATCGGATCCATAATTCGAAAAACTCGAGCTCCAATTGCCATACCGCACCGATGTGGTGCTTAGCCGGAGATGAATTAGCTGTTTCCTCGAGTCCAAGCCAAGCCGACGAACCAATATCAAGACATCTGTCGATAGAAACGAATTACAAACAGCGAAAGCCAATGACTAATCAAAAATGATGATTCCAGATGGTTTAATCCCAGAAATGATGAGAGCGATAAGAGATTTCGGGAGATTACTTGAAAACGGGTCGAAGAAGGCCCGACGTCTCGTGCACCCAGAGGCCCGGGTCATCGGAGACAGAATCTCCGCTACTGCAGTTACTTCGCTCGGAACGGCGATTTTCACGCTCTTCGTCGTCGTCTTCCGCCGACGGGATCCCCAGCGGCTGAGTCTGGTTGATTTGCGCCTGGTTGAGCGCGATCGCGAACAATGCGCCGGCCGCATATCTCTGCGTAGGCGTCAAATTCGACGTAGAAGCCACCATCGAAACGAGAGAAAATGATTTGAACACAAATTATCAGCCAAACAAACAAAACATGAAAGCGATGAAATCGTTTGGAAGTCGGATCACCGTCAAATTTCGAAATCCGGAGAAACGATGAATCCGTGAGGAGTCCTCTGTTTTGATTTTCTTTCTGGTCAAATAGCAAGGAGACATCTGTCTTCACTCTGTTGACTCATCACGCAACGACGTCGTCGGAAGTCAAAAGCCCAAAACTTTCAATCACAATTCTAAAAAAAGTCTCCGTTGCCGGGACTCGAACCCGGGTCTCTCGGGTGAGAGCCGAGTATCCTAACCAGCTAGACTACAACGGATTTGTGTTTAATCCCTTATTACATCTTTCTTCACTCTGTTGATGTATTACGCAAACGACGACAGAAGTCAAAAACCCAAAAATTTGAATCACAATTCAAAAAATGTCTCCGTTGCCGGGACTCGAACCCGGGTCTCTCGGGTGAGAGCCGAGTATCCTAACCAGCTAGACTACAACGGATTTGTGTTTAATCCCTTATTACATCTTTCTTCACTCTGTTGACGTATTACGCAAACGACGACAGAAGTCAAAAACCCAAAAATTTGAATCACAATTCAAAAAATGTCTCCGTTGCCGGGACTCGAACCCGGGTCTCTCGGGTGAGAGCCGAGTATCCTGACCAGCTAGACTACAACGGATTTGTGTGAACTCACAGATTACGGCTTATTCAAAGTCATAAAAAGAGACTATGGAAGTCATTTAGTGTTTAACCACATAAACAGCAATTCAACAACCCTAAAAGGCTAAAACTGAGAATTGAGCTTTTCAATCAACAACATGCCCTGCGTGTAAATACTGCAGAGGTTCCATAGATACAAGATGGAAACAACGTTGGAGGTTACACAGATACAAGTTTGCAACATACATGATGTTTTATTTATCTGCTAAACCGATATGCGTGTGAGGTGTGAGGTGTGAGGTGTGACTCTACATGGAACTCCTAAGCGCTCCACGACACTCGGAGAGCCACAAGTCGATGTGTTCTACTATATGCTGTCTCACTTTGTTCACTGCATCTGGTGAACTGCAATTCTTGGAATCACCTGAAATGAAGAGAAAAAAAGGGACATCATAAATTTTTAACAGTTGTTTCAACACTTGTCTTCTGAGTTCAGGCATCGGAAAGAAAGAGAGAAGAGGCAGGTAATATATATATATATACCTTCAATGACCATTGGAGACTGAGGACATCCTCGAAGATCACTTCCATGGCCACAGTTGTGACAATCCACGATGTAAGAAGGCACTGTGTCGTCAGGCATCAACTTGTTAATGTTTTCAATAAAATATATGTCTGAATGCTACTGAACGACATAGATTAAAGCACGAAGCCTGTTAATGTTATGTGGTTTTGATTAAAGTAGATGGAGGCTTACGGTCAGGAGATGAGGTCTGTTTAGATGCATGACGCCATGGATCCTGTGACCCATTTGTGAAGATTATCTTCGTCGCTGCAAAATTAAGAACAAGAGAGGCAAAGAAACTGTTGGAATTTGCAAAATAGTAAGACGAGCTATGAGAAGTTTTTTGATATTACATACCAGCAATTCTATCACCTCCATAGTAGAGGTTTGTTGCATCGACTTCAGGGTAAACATTCTTCCCAAACAGAGTCTTGCATAGATCCAAATGATACCTATGAAAAGCAACCAAGAAATGTTAGCTTGGTGATAGTAAAAAAGGGTTAAAGAAGAGTTATGCATATAAGGTTGTGACTGTGTGTACTCTGAATTGACTTGGTGAGACCGGATGCTATCATTTGCAGGTGCCACCTGGAAATACGCCACTTCAGTGCAAACTTGGAACCACCAAAGCCTATCTGAACTCTCTGGGGTCACCGCAGTGTCTAGCAGATGATTCCGGTTATATGTCTTAGCACTTAGACCGAAAACTCCCACGCAAAAGTCTGTATAATATTTAGCATATGCTTCCTGCATTTACACTCCCAATATAATGTATCAGCAAACACAAATTCTTAGTTATCTTTGATCATGTATATATATATAAGCAAAAAAAGTGAGAAAAAGCAAAGTTACCACTAAATCACCACCATTCTTCTTAGCTTCCACGAGTGGTACACATAGTTTATCTGGGTTTCCGTATTGGACCTGTCAAAATCTTGAAGATATATATCTCAAACTAGAAACAAATTGAGAATCATATTATATATATGAAATGAACGTGTATGCATATCCTTACCGCCATAACTTCTGCATCCGCAATCAGGTATAAGAAATCAGCATCGATATTGAGCTGCAGATTTCAGACACTTTAATCAGATTGGTCGATTGGAGACTGGACTTTTCTAATTCCAACTTTTTTTGGATTTAAAGAAGAGAAAGGAGAAGCAACAAATCACTAGACCTCGGTGGCATTGAAGCGAGCTTTCACAGCCTTGTTATTTACTTTAAGCGCTAGTTCCACGAGTTTATTAGTCTCCTGCAATGCAACTTTACATTCCGGTCCAACTGACTCACCTATCTGCTCAATAAGACACAAAAAAAACATGAATCTATCAGCAACTAAACTCTATATGAAAAGACACGAGTTAAGTCTTGTAACGAAGGTATGACCTGTTGATCAAATTCAGGGAAGTCGTAAACAGCACGAACAACTGCGGAACTCGCGAGGCTTCCACAGGTCAAATGAGGGAACTTAAGCCGGAACCAAGCACTCAAAGCTCCAGAATAAGACGCTCCGAAGAAGAACCACGGATTATCAACTTTGCCACTTCTATTCAACTTCACATTCAAAGACTCCTGCATCAACAGACAAATCCCAAATACATGAAAACAATGTCCGCTTCAAACTCCAAGAGCATAAAAACAACAAGACTACTTGCCTGGTAATATTCACGGAAAGCAGCTAAATCGAAAAGAGCCTGTTTAGACGAAAGGTACTTGAGATTCTCAGTGGCCAATGAGTTAAACGGTGAGCTCTTCCCGTAGTAACGATGCTCGAGCGAAACAATGCCCGCTTCAAACTTCTTCGCTAACACCTGAAAACATGTTTGTGAAGAAAGCAATGCAAATTTTAGAAACTATCGATTATCAAATGAATAAGATATATGGGAAAATGAGAAATCTTACACTTAAATAGTCATTGGGGATTCCGTTGCAAGGACCTTCACCGCAGATAATCAGAAAGATAGGTCCGTCCGGAGCTCGTAAATGATCCAGATATTCATAGTATCGCTGATTGAATTTGCGATGATCCTAAATTCCACAACTTAAACTCAAATCAGTACTATTTATGGACTTCGCAGCGAAATCTGGATCGAAACAGAGGATCTAAGAAGTTTCTCCCTTTTGACTCGGAATTTCCAATTTCAATAACTCAAGTAAGAAAAAAAGAAATTCAAATCGAACAAGAAGATTGATTTACATTTGGAGCGTAGTGATCTAGGGTTTGATTAAACCAGAGCTCATTTCTCGTCAAGTACTTGCCGCTTGCCGACAATCCATGAGATATCCTACGAGGTTGCAGTAATCCATGGGACAAGCTCGAATACGATAAGATCACAGTGAAGGTCGTGAGTACAGCAAAAAAGCCGATCGCCGGAGACATTTCTCGCCGTGAAAATCGATCGCCGGTAGTTTTTAGTAAATGGACAATTGAAAAAAACAAGGACAACAAAATAATGATTATCTCTGTTCTTTTTCTTTTTTTTTTTAACTTGCAAGGACGACAATAATGATTAGAAAATGTTTTCCGAATTTTTAATACGCATGGATTATAGTGCGGACTTCAAATGAAATTCAAACAATTCAAAGAAACAGATTTTATATTTTTGACTTCTTCTTCTTTAAAAACTTTAACTTTACTCATTTTGCTCTTCACTGACGGTTTTCATTCTCTCTCTCTCTCCAAGAACCACACTCATGGCGACACTTCTTCTCTCGTTTTCTCCTTCTTCATCATCTTCAAGCTAATTTTCATTTCGTTCAGTGCAACGGATCTACGGCCATGGAGAAATCCCTGGTCTTCCTCTTCCTGGTGATTTACGCGCCGTTATTCTCACGCGCCGGCGCCGAGGACTCTCAGGCCGAGATTGACGCTCTCACGGCGTTTAAGCTCAACCTCCATGACCCACTTGGTGCGTTAACTTCATGGGATCCTTCAACTCCGGCGGCTCCATGTGACTGGCGCGGCGTCGGCTGTACTAACCACCGTGTCACCGAGATCCGCCTCCCTCGTCTCCAGCTCTCCGGACGAATCTCCGATCGTATCTCCGGACTCCGCATGCTACGGAAGCTCAGTCTCCGTTCCAACTCCTTCAACGGTACGATCCCTCCCTCACTCGCTTACTGCACGCGCCTCCTCTCCGTCTTCCTCCAGTACAACTCACTCTCCGGGAAACTTCCCCCGGGGATGCGTAATCTCACCGCGCTTGAGGTCTTCAATGTCGCCGGAAACCGCCTCTCCGGCGATATCTCCGTCGGTTTACCGTCGAGCCTCAAGTTCCTTGACATTTCGTCGAACACCTTCTCTGGTCAGATTCCGACTGGACTCGCCAACTTGACTCAGCTCCAGCTCCTAAATCTCTCGTACAATCAGTTAACCGGCGAGATTCCGGCGAGCCTCGGCAATCTCCAGAGCCTCCAGTACCTCTGGCTCGATTCCAACCTCTTGCAAGGGACATTACCCTCCGCAATCTCAAACTGCTCCTCCATCGTCCACCTGAGCGCCTCGGAGAACTCAATCGGCGGCGTGATCCCCGCCGCGTTTGGCGCTCTCCCAAACCTCGAGGTCCTCTCGCTCTCCAGCAACAACCTCTCCGGTACTGTTCCGTTTTCTCTCTTCTGCAACACATCGCTTAGGAATGTTCAGTTGGGATCCAACGCTTTCTCCGACGTCGTTCGACCCGCGACGGCCAACTGCCGTACCGGTTTACAGGTCCTGGATCTCCGGGAAAATCGAATCTCCGGCCGTTTCCCGATGTGGCTGACAAACATTTCCTCACTAACGAACCTCGACGTTTCCGGAAACGTTTTTTCCGGCGAGATTCCTCCGGAGATTGGTAACTTGAAGAGTCTAATAGAGCTGAAGCTAGCTAATAACTCTCTTACGGGTCAGATTCCAGTGGAGATCAAGCAATGTAGCTCCTTAGAGCTTCTCGATTTCGATGGAAACCGATTAACCGGAGAGATACCTGAGTTTCTAGGCTACATGAAGGCTTTAAAGGTGTTATCTTTAAGGAGGAACAGCTTCTCAGGCTACATTCCTTCATCTATGGTGAATCTGCAGCAGCTTGATCGGCTAAACTTAGGTAGAAACAACTTGAACGGTAGCTTTCCGGTGGAGTTAATGGCCTTGACGAATCTCTCTGAGCTGGATCTTAGCGGGAACAGGTTTTCCGGGGAAGTTCCGGCGAGTATAAGCAACTTGAGTAACCTCAGTGTTCTGAATCTGAGTGGGAATGGATTCTCCGGCGAGATACCGGCTACCGTAGGCAATCTGTTTAAGCTAACGTCTCTTGATCTGAGCAAGCTAGATATGTCCGGTGAAGTTCCGGTTGAGCTCTCTGGTTTGCCTAACTTGCAAGTGATTGCATTGCAAGAGAACAACTTCTCTGGCGTTGTACCTGAAGGTTTCAGTAGCTTGGTGAGCTTAAGGTATGTGAACCTAACCGCTAACTCGTTCTCCGGTCAGATACCGCAGACTTTCGGTTTTCTCCGGTTATTGGTTTCTCTGTCACTGTCAGATAATGTCATCTCCGGCTCTATTCCACCTGAGATTGGAAACTGCTCTGCTCTTGAAGTTCTTGAGTTGAGATCAAACAGGCTAATGGGTCATATTCCGGCTGATCTCTCTCGTCTTCCCCGGTTAAAAGTGCTTGACTTGGGACGTAACAACTTCTCCGGCGAAATCCCGTCTCAGAGCTCGTCTCTCAACACATTGTCACTTGACCACAACCGTCTCTCAGGAGTCATACCGGAATCTTTGTCAGTGTTATCAAACTTGACAAGGCTTGATCTCTCTGTTAACAACTTAACCGGAGAGATTCCGGTTAGCCTCGCTCTTATCTCCAGCAACTTGGTTTACTTCAACGTCTCAAGCAACAACCTTAGAGGAGAGATTCCTTCTTCTTTAGCCTCAAGAATCAGCAACGCATCAGAGTTTTCAGGTAACGCAGAGTTATGTGGCAAGCCATTGAACAGAAAATGCGAACGTAGCAGAGCGGAAGAGAAGAAGAAGAAACGGAAAATGATTCTGATGATAGTTATGGCTGCAATAGGTGCATTCCTCTTATCACTCTTCTGCTGCTTCTACATTTACACACTCTTGAGATGGAGGAAGAAGCTGAAACAACAGTCAACAACCGGAGAGAAGAAACGAAGTCCGGGAAGAACAAGCGCAGGAAGCAGAGTCCGTAGCAGCACGAGCAGGTCAAGCACAGAGAACGGAGAGCCGAAGCTAGTCATGTTCAACAACAAGATCACATTAGCCGAAACAGTCGAAGCAACGAGGCAATTCGACGAAGAAAACGTTCTTAGCAGAACAAGATACGGATTGCTATTCAAAGCCAACTACAACGACGGAATGGTTCTCTCTGTGCGACGCTTACCTAACGGCTCGCTCTTGAACGAGAACTTGTTCAAGAAAGAAGCAGAGTCTCTCGGGAGAGTCAAGCACCGGAACATCACGGTGCTTAGAGGCTACTACGCTGGTCCACCGGATTTAAGGCTTTTGGTGTATGACTACATGCCTAACGGAAACTTATCTACTCTCCTCCAAGAAGCTTCTCACCAAGATGGTCATGTCCTAAACTGGCCAATGCGTCACCTCATAGCTCTTGGAATCGCTCGCGGACTCGGTTTCCTCCATCAATCCAACATGGTAAGTTTTAAAAATCACATTTTTACATTTTGAAAGTCACTTTCAGGTTTTGTTAACATTCTCTTGTCCTGAATAGGTTCATGGTGATATCAAGCCACAGAATGTGCTCTTCGACGCCGATTTCGAAGCGCATTTATCTGATTTCGGGCTTGACCGTCTCACGGTTCGATCTCCGTCGAGAACAGCGGTCTCATCAGCTACTATCGGGACGCTAGGATACGTTTCTCCAGAAGCCGCAGCGTCTGGAGAGATCACGAGAGAATCGGACATTTACAGCTTCGGCATTGTGCTGCTAGAGATCCTAACCGGGAAGAGACCGGTTATGTTCACGCAAGACGAAGATATAGTGAAATGGGTGAAGAAACAGCTTCAGAGAGGTCAAGTCACTGAGCTGCTAGAGCCGGGTCTACTCGAACTCGACCCGGAATCTTCGGAATGGGAAGAGTTCTTGTTAGGAATCAAAGTCGGGCTTCTTTGCACGGCGACGGATCCTCTTGACCGACCAACAATGTCCGACATTGTTTTCATGCTTGAAGGCTGTCGTGTTGGACCTGACGTTCCTTCCTCAGCCGATCAACCGTCACCGGCCTAACCGTTTTTATTTTATTTATTTATGTCTTCTTCCTGATTTAAACTTTTTAGTCAAAAAAATTATTGTCTTTGGAGCTTTCTTTAATGTCTTTATTGGGGATAACGAAGTCTTTGTTTCGACCTAGAACTCGAATTAATCTGTTGTTTCAAAACTTCGAGTGGCCCACTAAGAGATTTTTCAATATCGCTTATTTGTTGGTCAACGTAATTTAAAGCAACCGTATTTAATGCATGTCGGACCCGCTTTAGTAAGTTATGTTTTCGCGCCTAAAGAGTGTTTTGTCTTTGATTTCCCTTAAAAGATGGGATGATTAGGCATAAAAATGTGGAAAAGGAAACATCATTCAACCAATAATTCTATCATTTAGCAAAGAAACAAAACACTAATGCGCGGCTGATTTTAGAATAGAAAACTAAGTACTATTGAGAAAGTAGACAAGAGAGCATGATGATTGGTGGGTGGGGCCTAGTCTTTGTCACGTGCCGATAGTTTGCTGATTCTGAATGTGACCGTTGAGCCACTGATGTCATCACGTGCCTAAAGTTTCGTACAACCTGGCATTATTTGACTCTGCTCCCGTCAGTTTTTGCACGTGGTGGAAAGTCCACTGTCGAAGTTCATGTGGACCTTCTTTTAAAATTACGAACCGAACAATGAATAGTTACTAGTTTATGTGTTTTTCTCCTAACATGTAACACCCATACGAGGGCCTTATTGCGTTTATTTAAGATGAACGGGCCCAATGTTGGGTCAAATTTCGGGCCTCCATTCACAAATTCAGCAAACCATCATATTTTGGTGATCCCAGATACCGTTGGGTCGGTACATGTCTATATTGACCCATCGGTAACAGCAGAAAAACATGAATGCCGTTGGCTCGCATGTCAGATGAATAACAAATGGTATAGCAACGGTAACATTTGAACTAATTTATGGTGATACATTTACTTTAGTTACATTTTTAATACATCAAAAGTATATAAAAACCATTAACTAAGTTTAATGTTGTTACATTGTTATGTTTTTATATTCATGGAATATACTGTTTTGATATACTTTTGTTGTTACATTCATGGAATATACTGTTTTGATATACAAAAAAAACAAAACAATTCATGTCTGTCTTTGTTGTTGTTTTGAAGTGAAATGAAAACCATTAACTAAGTTTAATGTTGTTATGTGATGATTACGAAAATGTCATGATTTTGCATTTCACTTGGAAGGAGTAAAAAGTTTAAAAGAGTATTCGCCCACACGTTCATTTCTCAGCCAATGAAATATATTTTTCTTGACCACCGTATAACATGATACATCTCCAGTCTATAATTTCAAAACGACCGTATTATCATTAAATAATTAATTACCATGTACGTGGACTATCCACGCAATCACCAGTAATTATACACATTTCCTTGCTTTATAGCTTTTATCATTAGTAAATTTCAAGTCCATGGCACCAATCTATTAATATCAAAAGTCAAAACCCATCTTGCTCATATATGACTTACAAAGAACACCGAAGTGCTTGCTGTTGTTAAATCCATCAATGACATCTTAGCTTTTACTATCTTCTCCTATATTATTATTACTCACATTCATACTCTTACAGTACTTAAATGCCTACTCTTTCTTACCATATATAATGATTAATCATCGTCTCTTACTCTTCACGACTTCAAAAGTTAGTCTATTATTGGGTCTTTCCAATCGTATAAGCACATGACATTATTATGTAACTGGTGTCCAAACCATAGCTGATCAGTGCTTTATAGTTGCATCAAACTATGAAATCGATACAGCGACCACAAAAGAAACATAACTTTAACCGAACATATTTTGCTGTTAGAGTACGACTATAATAAGCGATCTGTAGGTGATTTTCAATAAACCAGACCGGTGTTAACGGAGCCCTAATAGTCTGATACACCCCTTCATTGAACTAATATGGCAACACTAAACTTCCCGACATTTATTGTTAGATATTTGAAAAAGTTGCGAAAACAAAAAGGAGAAATGTTGCAAAGAAACTTGTGGATTACACTTCTAATATAAGCATAATGAGGGTACTATGCATAGATAGATATATAATGTGTGTGCCCGAATTGTGTATGTGACCCATTATGTTAGTGGGAGGAGACAAAAAGGAATGAGTGAATCACAAGATTGTTGTGTGATTAGAAAGAGGCAAAGAGCTAGTTACGAGTTAAGAATTCGCATCTATTCAACAAAATATTTATGATAACCTATAGGCTATGTATAAAATTGTAACGGTTTGACAAACTCTGCAGTCTGTGAATCCTCAAGACCTTGGTCAAGTTAGATTTTTGGGTTCTATTCTCGTTAGAGAGAAAATATTTGTCGACTAGCCATATATTTCACCTGATCACACGTTTTTAAAAATTGCTTTATATATCTAGGTAATAAAGGAATTCTTTCAATTTCTCATCTTTCATAATTATCACTCAAAATCAGCTACTGAGTGCATCTATATGCTCGATATAGATATATACAGTACTTTTAGTCTACATAATCAAGTAGATTTTTAAAAATAATTTAATCACATTAATCATGTTAAATATCGTCTTTTGCTAGATATAAATAAATGATGATGATATATATATAGCCACTGTAACCTTAATAGTTATCTAATTAAACTTTGCCCACAATATTCTAGTGAACCTAAATAGATAAGTTCAAAACTGATATATGTTTTGTTAGATAAGTTAAAATTTTGGTTTACATTTTATTAGTCTTTCTTAGTACTAGTGAAAGTAATCATGTCGATCTTAAACTATCAACTAAGATATATATGTATAACTTAAACATACTTTTCGGCACTCACGAGTTCAAACTATTTTTTCTCAAAACCCGCATTAGAGATGACAATTTTATCATTATCCCTAGTGCAAGTGAATGATCCGTAGGACGGCGATTGTATTGAATTTTGTTGTTTAAGCTTATGATATCAGGTAGTTCTTATAATTTTTTTCCAATAATGATCCAAAGGCAAAAATTGACAAGATGCATATCTTTTTACAAAATTAAGTTGTAATTTCGGCCGTATATACGTTGAAGTTATAGTTTAGTGGCTTGTCAACTATATCATTGCTTAGACTTGACATGACTCTTTAATCCAATAAAACCCATAAAAATCACAATGATCGATTTATTATCAAAAATGATCTTAGAAAGAATTTGGACAAATGTTATTGTTACAACTCACAAGGGTGTAAAATGATCTTAAATGGGTCCCGCTAGAATCTTTCTTTTTGCCGGTTACGCAAACCTCTCTCTCCGGCCCTCTTTCTTTTTGTTTAGTTATGAACATTCTCACTGCAAGTGTACTCTCATAAACAGTTTTTTTCACTGGTGACTGGTGTTAACGGATTGGAATATACGAATCTTAGAAAATCTAAGCAAGACTAAAAGGAAAAAGGGATATGTACATGTAACACGAGAGGGGAAAAACAAAGTTTAGGGAAAGGGGTTTGTTTATTTCACCGGCCAAAAACTCTGAGAAAGGTGGAGTGGCCCCACTAAGGGATGATGCGTTCCGCCGCTTGATTAGTGACCGCCGGCCGACCCACCACCGTCCTACGTGGACATTTCTTCTTCCCTCCTACTTCATCTTCTGATTCTCTAGCTAATGAATTACATCTACAAAGTACACTGTACACCCAAAGTAACCGTAACCGCCGACACAAAAATCGTATTACAAATATATTCTCATTTTAAGTATTTAATAACAATCTCACCTTAACAAATTCGACATTTGTTTGGAATCCGTCGGCATGCCAAATTACCAATAGACTTTTTATCTAATGAATAAGACATATTCTTTACTAATGTAACAGCCTAACAGACTAACAGGATTATTCCTCACCTTTAAAAGCGGTTTCATCGCATGCGTTTAAATTTAATTATTTATTTCCAAAAGCATGCGTCAATTTTTAAAAGAAAATGTTTCGAAAACAAACAAAACAATTCTTCAATCCGAATATAAACATGCAACTGACACGTGCATGAAGCTTGATTCCTAGACATGTTTGTCAACGTTTGAGTTCGTTGAGAAAAAGAACAAACTTTTTATAAAGAACAAACTTCATAAGAATACCTAAAGCCACTTATTAATTTTCGGAAAACTAATCAAACTATGGTAAATCAAACCATAATTATCCTCCTGCATTTTGTAACTTTATGATAATCAACCCATCTATAATTAAGTCTTTGTTGAGCCATGTATTTTAACCATAGAAGACCATTTCTAATACTTATATTTTTGTTGGTTAAGTATAAGTATATTATTCAACAACTTAAGAAATCGCGAGTCAACGTCAAAACAACGGCAATAAGTGCAATTTTGAAGCCCAACAAGTTATGTCCAAACACGTTTGATGAAAATATATGTAATGGGATTGGTCCAAAGCATGCAGGACCAGATTGTTTCACTTTGATTCGTGATGTAATTGCTATATGTTTTTTTCTGTAGCTTTTTGGTGGCATGTCATTTACAAAATCTACACTAACTCATGTCATAGTCTTATTGGTTTATATGTATATGGAGACATTCTACCAAAACTTAAGTGACATGATATAATGATTGAGAAATCTCTATCATTAAATATATATGAATTTTTTCGACGATACTTTTCTGTTGTTTCTTACAAATGTAAGTATAGATTCGGCCGTTTGTGTGTACCAAGAATTATGTTGTGTTCAATTCTGAAGTATGCCTAAAGCTATATTTTAAGATTCGATTCTACAGATATAAGGTTGAGTTCGATTCTAATGTGGGCATAAATTCGTTTTTTTCTCCGAATCAACCCAAAGATATCGAAACTGTATTGTTTTGCATTCTATCAATCAACAGATATATATTTTTTCTTGTTCATGCGGAATTATTATTTGGTCAGAAAAGTTTTTAACTCTCAATGTTCTCTTAAAAACATCTGACAAACAAATTTTTGGTGTATATAACGAATTGTGGAGTATCATATTTTCTTACTTAACTTATATATCATGGAATACAAACACAATTCTTTCAAAATGATACAACGACGCTCTCAAACTATATAAAATCATTTTGGTACCAAAATAAGATTATAACTTTATTTTTGCTTCGCCTAATATATATGTGTATGTATTGGTAGTAGCTTTATTTATCTTCTACGTAAAGATAATATAGCTCAATAGCCAACCAACGACCGCCACGTGACGGCTGCTGTTCGATTTCACTCTCCCTTCTCGTTGGTTCTTGTCGACAAATCATTGGCGAAGAGAAGGCCGTCACTGGGGATGACATCAAACTACGTATTTACCCCTTTTCATTATCGAAGTGGTGAGGGTGAGTTGGTAATTCGACAGATGATGTGAAGTTGACAAGCATGTTAAGCGGGCGGTTAGTTTATTCTGCCCCACGTGGCAAGGGGACATTCTCTGTTGTGCCAGCGTGGCATGTTCCAGAATGTCAGAATGTTTGAAACATTAAAACCCGTGATCCTATTGGTCTGACGGTAAATGCAATTTTATTACTTAATTTAATTTTGTTCGAAACAACTTTTTTTCTTTCTTTTTGAACTTTATTGTTTGAAACAACTTAAACCTAGTCCAAATGTTGGAAAAGAAAAAGAACTAGTCGTTATTATTTGAGTTAAGAAAATACAAATGGTAACTCATTATTGATATAAATATATACAAAGGCAGGTCCCATGTCAGTGTATTTTGGCAGTTTTTGGTAGATACTAGATGCAAACGTACAGAATAAACCCCCAAAATGATTTTTCTTTCTTCTAGTGTTACATCTTTTTTCTTCATAATATTAGTGTAGATCAAAAGCTACTTAAACTGATTGAAACTTTAAAAGAATGGATACAGGAAACTGAATTCTGGTTTCGACCAATAAAACGTTGGTAAATGGAGTATCATAATTTGATTACAAGAATAGGATCATTGCTTAGTTGTGTGTGGTAAAATCTTGCAAAGCTAGATTTGAGGTAATTTGAGTTTTCTTCAAAATAAGTATGCAAATATTAATAATGAAACAATCTGAAAAATCGGAAGTAATAATTTCGAGATCTTTAGACATATATATTTCAAAATGTTCAAAAGAAGAAGAAGACATATATTCATAATAAAATGATAAAAATTGGAAGAAGAGTGTGAAAAAAGAAGCGGGAGGAGGGTGACGTACGCAAATGGGGACATGGAGAAAGCCACGCGCAATTGAGCGGTCCACACTCTCTACCTTTTATATTTCACCGAATCATCAATCTCTCACTCCCTCTCTCTCTCTCTTCATATTCCCCGAAACTTATAATAAAAACAGCATCAATCTCTCTCTCGACGATCATCGTCTTCTACACATCCATTTCTCTCTGATCTTCTTCTTCTTCTTTACTTCTTCCTTCATCCTTCTCCTTTCTTTTGTTCCAAACGAGTAAATAGCGACCTATACACATATATATCTTCCACATAACGTAGAGAAGGTAAAACCTAATTTACACAGGCTTTCAAGATCATAAGAGTGAACTTGCATCGTCTCAACTTACACTTATACACGTGCGTTTTTATTTCACCATAGCATTAATCTCTTCTCATCCTTTGTTTTCTATACTTTCCGTTGTTCTTTAGCTTGTCTTGTTGACCGATCTGCATGTGTGATTGGTCGATCTTGATTTTTCTTCGTCAATACTTAACAGGTTGGTCGATCTTGATTATTGAAATGTTTGGTATTTCCATTATGAAAATTTAGGTTTTTCATTTCTCATATCTTAATTAAGCTTTGTTAGTTTCTATATTCTCTTTTCCACAAAACCTTCTCATAATTTGTATTTGAATATAAAGAGTATGTACTTGTATGTGTGTATATATTAATAGCATAGTGCAGTCTTGTGTACTTAAAGCTTTCCGAAATGAAGATAAAACAGAAACAGACTTTGAAGGCTTTCTAACAGTTTTTGCTCAGTCTTGATGATTTTTTTATATTTTTGTTTTGTTATAGATGTGGAAAAAGTTGTTTTTGTTTGTATTCTGTAAGACCGTATATAGTATGTATATATAATGCAGCTAGGTTGGGTTTGTTTGGTTTACTATAGATCACCAGTCTATTATTTATTTAAGAAAATTCCGTTTGTCGAAATAATCATTGCCACCATTAGTTCACAAACCACGTTACAACAGGAAAGCATCATTAGCTAGTACAAAATTCTACATTTCCGTTTTCTTTGAACCTCAGGGGCTCTCATGCATGTCCTCGATGTCTTTGATTTCCTCAACTTTAAACCTAACTTTCATGTTCTTTGTTCCATCTTCTGATCTCTTTTTTTTTTAAAGATTAATGAGCTGATGATTATATGTAATTTTTATCTATGAAAACGCTAACTAAGTGAAAATTAACCATTAAATGAGATGATGATTACACTTTTTTACAAAAACAAATATGTTTATTTTCTTTCATATTTTTTCCCCAACTCTTTAAGATGTGATACCAGCATGCGTACACATGTTATATTGTTTATATGACGTTATAGTGATGATCGTTTTGGTGTGATGCAGAAATAATGGAATCGGTGGATCAGTCTTGTAGTGTTCCTCCGGGATTCAGGTTCCATCCGACAGACGAAGAGCTCGTTGGTTATTACTTGAGGAAGAAAGTTGCATCACAAAAGATTGATCTTGATGTCATTAGAGATATTGATCTCTACAGAATCGAACCATGGGATCTACAAGGTTCCTACAAAAACACAATATACATATACTTATTTTTAGGATTTCTGTTCTTAGACTGACTGACAATGTGAATACAGAGATCTGATGAACATTTGGTTATATATTACAGAGAAATGCCGAATCGGATACGAGGAACGAAATGAATGGTATTTCTTCAGCCACAAGGATAAGAAATATCCAACAGGAACAAGGACAAACAGAGCGACCATGGCCGGTTTTTGGAAAGCCACGGGTCGAGACAAGGCTGTTTACGACAAGTCCAAACTGATCGGTATGAGGAAAACACTTGTATTCTACAAAGGAAGAGCCCCAAATGGCCAAAAAACTGAATGGATCATGCATGAATATCGGCTAGAGTCAGATGAGAATGCACCTCCTCAGGTATTCTTTATTTCTTACTTGATAATATTTTCGAAATAGAAAGGATGACTGTGTTACAACTTACAACATTCAATTTGGTTTTTTATTTCTCCCCATTTTTTTTAAGGGAAATTACATCGAACTTTTTTGGTTTTTCATGGGGCCTATAGAGACTTTTTGGGAGGGGTCTCATAAGCTCTCGTTTATGAGACACGTTTAAACCTTTTAGGTAAAAGTCTAGCCTCTTTAAGACTTAGGTAAAAATGTTACACCTTTAATCACAAAACAAAAAGTAAAAAGTCTGTCCTAAAACTTCAGTTCCATATGTGTAGACCAAAGTCCATTCCTATTTATCTCTCTTTTTATGAGTAATATAATGTATCTATATATAAGCCTTTCTTAAGTTGTCTAACTACAGACATGACTTAAAAAAGAGTTAGACGTATTGTTTCAAATCCCTTATATAGCTTTTAGATAAGCAAATTTGTACATACTATTATTAATTAACAACAGCTTTTTTTTGTTGCCAATTGTATTGAAGGATATGTGTGTGTTATATATTTCTTGCAATCTCTCAAAATCGAAATATTGTAGTAGTAAAATTTGATATAGCTTGCAAATGAGTATGCACATATATATGCTTATTGGTAGCTTTATTTTCTTGTAGTCTCACACTTTTAAGGCATGCTTTTATCGTGTCTCACTTAGATATAAAAGCAAAATTATTTCTTGTTTTTGTTTGACAATATTGGCTTAAAGGTTATAGGCTTATTTACACCAAATGTAATAGACCATTCCTTATTATGGTTGTGTGTGTGTATTGTAGGAAGAAGGTTGGGTCGTTTGTAGAGCTTTCAAGAAGAGACCAACGACCGGGCAAGCCAAGAACACGGAACCTTGGAACTCAAGTTACTTTTACGACGAATTACCAAGTGGCGTAGGCTCGGCTATGGACCCTATCAATTACGTATCTAAGCAGAAACAAAACATTTTTGCACAGGATTTAATGTTCAAGCAAGAATTAGAAGGATCAGATATCGGTTTAAACTTCATCCACTGCGATCAATTCATTCAACTTCCTCAGCTCGAAAGCCCTTCACTTCCTCTTACGAAGAGGCCAGCGAGCTCAACGTCAATAACATCATCGGAGAAGAACCATAATAAGTCCAAACGGCAATTGATAGAAGAAGATGAGAGCTTCAACACGCTAATAAGTAGCGAAAATAAAGATAAGAAGAAGAAAACATCAGTGATGACGACGGATTGGAGAGCACTCGATAAATTTGTTGCTTCTCAACTAATGAGCCAAGAAGACGGAGTTTCGGGTTTTGGAGGTCATCAAGAAGATGGCAACAGTAAAATCGGTCACTACATTAACGAAGAGAGCAATAACAACGGAGTTGAGAAGGCTTCTTCGACGTTATTGAGCGATAGAGAAGAAGAGAACAGATTCGTCAGTGGGTTCTTGTGTACGAACTTGGACTATGACTTACATAGGGATATGCATGTTTGATAAATGATAATACTATATAGTATGGTGCGTAACGTTTGCTACATAGGTAGAATATTGATATAATATAACATATATAAGGATTTGAAAAAGATTTTTTTTCTTATATGGATATTTTTTATAATACGTTTTCGTGAAAAGAATTGATGTATGGCTGTGAATGATTGAAGATAAATGCTATTTTTTTTTATGAAGCTAATTAGGGTTTTGGTCTATATGTGTCATTTGCATATCAAATCTAAAGAAAACGGCACGAATTGATAGTTTTTCAAGTATACTCGTACATGATTAGTAGTACAATTAATTTAATCACCGAAGTAAAACTAAACAAAACAAGAATTGGCCCAAAGTGGACCCATGAGCTGTCGAGCGTGCGGTGTACAAGATGGGAGTCCGTTGGGCATGCTTTGTCGTCGTTTCAAGAGCCCCTTTACCCGTTTCTTCCATTTCTCAAATTTTACAGTGCAAATTTCATTTTATTACAAATCTATGATTTATACCTTGTAATACTCTAAACAAAACCGAATAAGTTATTGTAATAGATATATCTTGTCGTCCATAGTTATAGATTCTTGTTGAAAAGTGGTGCCAAAATCTTTAAAGCGGATCGGAGATTTACATGATCATGGTAGCTTTTGGAGGGGAGGGAACTGATTGAAGGGAAGACAAGGCTTGTGATTTGTCCATTTCATACTTAAGGTGGGCCAACTAAACCACTCTCATGTCTTCAATGCAATTATGCCTTAACCATTTTCCTTTTCCCCCTTTTTTCGTTTCCTACAAATATTGTGTCAAGAATATGAAAAATATGAAATTTATTAATCAGTTTTCTGTAAATACTAGAATGCACGATAATATTTATCCAATTTTTTTATTATAGATGTTTTTCAAAAACAAAGTGAAAAAAGCACAGTTCTATACAAAGTCATATTAGTTCGGAATTGATTAGAATTATGACAAAACAACGTATTGTTGTACGGTCACAAGGATGAGACATCTGATTCCCGTTATTACCATTGGAGGCGCTCCACGTAAGTGAAAAGTAGTCGGTAACTAAAAGTATCATTAGGAAGAATTACGCACTTTTAATCAAACTAATGATTAATTTCCTCCTTTTTGTCACTCTCGAAAGAGTGTATTACATTGAATTCTTCGGTTCCCATACAATTTATTGTGTTGTTTCTCTTCTTTACACTTTTGGTTTGTGTAACGTGTTGTATACGTACATTATCATTTCTATAGTTTTTGTTTGATAAAGATCATTTCTATAGTTTCAATAAAACTTTTGAATGATTGTGGATTTGGTTTTGGTAAATGTATCACAAAAAACTCATATAACCGTTTTTGTAGTTAAGGTTCAAACATAAATTTCAATTATGGGTAAATATAGACATGTTTCTATGTGTGTTATCCCTAAACATGTGACTATATTAGGATATGGGTTAGACTCATTGACCACTTCTAATCTACTCCCTCTTTTGGGCAAAGTAATAAGAAAGTATCTCAGAACCTTGAACCAATGAGCATCCTCCAAAATATAAATCAAAAAGTTTTTTTAATTTATCTTATTTTTTCTCTCACGAGACTGTAATGTGAATTTGACCTAAAAAAGGGAATCGCTGTTTTGCACACGTTGTCGTCTTTCAATCAATTTTGAGTAATGATTGAGTTTTTCTACGGTGGGAAAAAATGGTCGAAATCCAATAGATTGCCATTTCAATGCAAGATTACTCAAAAACTTGGTTATCTTTGACATTGTGAGTGAAGAAATGATCATGGAGTGTTTTAGTTACTAATTATGGGTACGTCATACGTGTACGTCGGTCGAATGGTCAATTGAAATTTATCAAAATAACAAATGAGTGAATCCAGAATGTCAAGTCATTGCGTAAGATTACGAGACCAGTGGGAGAAAAAAGATCCTCAATTATTTTAGTGGTTTATTTTTGTGTTGTTGTCAACGAAATCAAGATTTAAAAGGAAGGTACTTTGTTTTCAAGAACCAATTAAACTCTCTCTACTAAACTCGCTTTGTTCTTTCCCTGTATAATCAAAACTCTGCACAAGCATGTCAAAACTCTGCAGTAAGTCGCAAATTGTACAAATATAAATTTTTTAGTTTCCATATACAAAACAGAGATTAGTTTGACAAAAAATGCAACTTAGCAAACCCATAAACCAAAAAGAATACAGCACCTACCAACAGATACCTCAAAACAACGGACAAAAATCCAGCACCAAAGCTCACTATACTCTTTCCAACTGACAAAACTCGTCCTGAAGAAGTTCCATTACAGTTCCCTTCAGTGACGACATGGTTTGGTTCCTCGTACACCAAACTTAAACCACAATTTACAATCTCACCTGCTCCATCTCTCACTTCGAATTTGATTGAAGCCTCAGTAGGGACACATTCATGATGTTCTTGCGACTGCAACGATCCTTGTGCATGATTTGTTATGTGCGATGAACTGGTGTAACCAATAAACACATGGTCCGAATCAATCTTGCGTGGTTCAATCCAACCTCCGCCAAGAGTGCAGCTGAAACGCTTATTTGTCCCAAGTTCGTTTGTGAACTCACAAGTGCACTGTATTGAGAAACGGCTGATTTCATCTTGAGTGCAAGGGAATGCGACAACAGCGCATAGAGCTATTGTCGAAAGCCTGTTGTCACACCAATGTGGCGGAAACTTCAGCTTTAACGTGGAACCAACTGTTTGATGGTTGAACCATGTAGGTACTTCGCTACCTGGAAAGGAAGTGATGAGCAAAGCTTCTGAAAAACTGCCCTGCAAAAGTCAAACAGAATTTTATTTTATTTTATAAAAGTGTTAAAAGAGATTCGATTTAAATAAAATGAGGAATGAGACCTCTTTATAGCATCTAACTGAATCTAGCTGGCTTTTCCTTTGAGCATACGATGTGATACTATTTTTAGCAGCTAGTTCAAGGTTGGTGCAGTTGGTGAAAATGAACTTAGAGTGAACCTGCTCCATATGCTTAACAAAGGCCATGGGGGATGCTACTGTTCTCAGTTTCTGGCAGCCATGTGCGTCTAAGATCTCTAGATTTGGCGGAAGCAATGGAATCGATTTGAGATTCTTGCAGTACTTCAGGTCAAGCAATTTCAGATGATGTAGTTGACTGATGTCGATTTGCAGATTGCTGAGCATATCGTTCCTACTTAAGCATAGACGCTGCAATGAGGACAAGCCGTTCACACCACGTCTTAATTCACCTAGATCTTCCACTTTTGAGCCATTGAACTGCAATATCTTCGGCATGTCTGCAACCGCTGTCCCGTCGAGCAATAAAATCTGCAAGCGTTTCATGTTTTCAATGGGAATTGGAAAAGTCTTGAGCTTTGAACAACCAGAGAGCACCAGTTCTTGCAGAGCTTTCAGCTTCCCTAGGCATTCTGGAACCGCCCTCAACATTTTGCAGTCTTTCAAGTTCAATACGATCAGTCTCTGGAGCTTCACCATGTTTGTAGGAAGTTGACCAATCGCAGTTCCATCCAAGTGTAGAGTTTCTAGATTGTCCGAAACCACCCTGAATTTCTCTAGGCTTGAGCAGTTGGTGAGGATGAGAGTTTTCATAGAGATCAGATTCATATGTGGAAGAAACCGGAGACTTGTGCATCCTCTCATGTTGAGCAAAATCAGACTTTTCATACGTTTCATGTCCTTGGGCAACTCCTGCAAACTCGTGCAGCCTTCAAGATTCAATCTTTGGAGACTTTCAGCATTTACCAACCCTGAAAGATTGCATAACTTGCTTGAGTGGCTAAGATCAACCCACTTTAGCTTCGGTGTATCCTGCAATGAACAGTCAGAGACAAGATTAAGCAACTCTAGAGAGACTAATCTAGTAAGATAATAAAATTAACAATGGTGAAATTATAGAGAGACACACCTTAACACCCTCCCAGACCTCTTCAATCTCGCTGTAAGGCAGGTTAAGGTCGGTAAGATTCTTGGGGTTGAAGTCTTTTGGAAGTTTCTTCAAAGGGAATTTCAGCCAATAGAGATATCTTACTTCATCCACCGGAAACTCAAGCCCCTCAGGGAAGTTAAGTTTGCAGTCAGCTTTGCATTCCCGATGACAACGAGAACTAAAGAATTTGAGGTACCTAAGTTGACGCATCTCAGTGAAAGTACATCTGTCCAAAGGAATCTTGTTCTTCAGCTCAGACATGTCGAGAAAAATACCTCTCACACTGTCTGCTCCCTGCTTAACCAGTTTAAGATAAATAGGTTATAGCAAGTTGAAGTTTCTTAAACAGAAATTTTGTGACATTCTTGAGATTTATGATCTTACTGCTTGTTTCTTCAGCGCACCAATAACACCTTTATGGTTCCACAGTCTGCGTGAGCCGTGTGAGCCAAGTTCCTTGCCAAATGTATACAGCAAATCATGCATCTCCACTCGTCCGCCAGAAATGTTAATCAAGAATTTATTGGCAAGATCCTTTATTTCACGCACAACATCAATGTGCTCAGCGTCGTCACAAGACTCCTCCACTAAACACCCAACGTAATACTCTTCTCCTGATCTAAAGAAACAAGCGACATCGAGAAACATATCTTTCTGACGCTGGCTTAACCCATCGTAGCTTATCCGCAAGACATCTTGTATAGTCTTATTGGGACTTTGTGCCAGCTTGCAAAGCTTATCTTCCCACTGAGTCTCGTCTTTCCCATTGAGCTCAATCCCCAATATCTTGAGAGCTAATGGGTTGCCTTTGGCATAATCCGCAAACAATCTTGAAAGATTCATGAAACTTCCCTTCGGAGTAGAGAGCTTACCACTGAAGGCAAAATGGCTGAAGTACTGAAAGCTGTCTCTGCCGGTCAGTCTCAGGACCTCATACGTGTCATCAACCATCCCCTCGATCACCGACCTGTCGCTAGTCGTGATAAAGATTCTGCTACCTCTCTTAATCCAGTCGCACTCGCCGAGAAGAACTTGTATCTGTTTCTTGTCACTCACACTATCAAGAACAACAAGAGACTTCTTACTGAGTAGGCGTGTCTTCAAGGAATCAAGAGACACGTCAGCGACTTGTTGGTCCACTTTATCATCATCATCATCATCATCATCATCCCTCAACAACTCTCTCATGAGAAGATTCCGATCCATCATCACGCAGTCATGAAGAAAGACGCAGCGGAGGAACTTGTGTCGCCACTTCTCATACATCATCTTCGTCAGTGTGGTCTTACCAATACCAGGCATCCCAACAACACCAATGGTGAGAGTACGCTTGCAGTCAAAATCCAACTTCTCTTCCAATTGCTCAAGACGCGTTTCAATGCCAAACAGAGGAGGCGACTCAGAAACAGAAACAGCTTCAAACGTATCTTCTTCTCTTTCGAGTTCCGTCGAGAAATCATGAAGCACTTTGATCACTTCGTTTACAATTTGATTGATGCATTCACCTTCATCGCTGCAAATGATAAACCAATCAGAAACCCTAATAGACAACAAAACAGAGTATCATTTGGCAAAAAGGTACCTCATTTCGCTTAAAGTGAAGCCCAACTTTTTGGGGACGTCCTCTAGAGCTTCTCTCCACTTATCTAGCTTTTCTCCTTTAATAGTCTTGGCCAATTCCCAAAACTTGTCACCGAACACTCCCTGGAGGCTTTTCACATCGTCAGTCTCCACCTTGTAGAAGATGGGGATGACTATAAGTTTGCCTAAATCAGCGCACTCCTTGATCTTCTCCAGCTCGTCCAAGCACCAGTTTGACTCCGTGTACAGGGTTGAGAAGATGGCGAGCGCGACACTCGACTCCTCGATTCGGGAAAAGAGGACGCTGAGATCTTTCCCTCTGGTTTCGTCTCGGTCGATGAAGACGTTGATTCCATCCCTTCTCAAGGCCTTCTCCAGATGGCTGACGAACCCGTTCCGTAGCTGCTTCCCTCGGAAATTGATGAAGACTTGATGTTGCGGCGGTGATTGGACGGAGGAAAGAGAGGCGGCCACCATGATCGATGGGTCAGACAGATTTGTACAGATCAGGAGAAATTACTTCGCATTGAGATTACAAGAGAAGACCATTGACGAGAAGAGACTAGCAAATACTGTATCACCACTTTATCAGATATTTCCGAGTAAATGAATGGTTGGCAAAACTTTAGGAATCATTCGAATGGAGTCAGCGCTCTCACCTAATAGAGTCAACGTTGTACACCTCTACACAACGTTCTCTGAAAAGCACTGTGATTTTGCTACTCCTTTCCATCAATCTAATGGATTCTTCTTTTTCCCTCCTTAGGATCTGTGCTGCTGCAATAAATTTCTTCATGATCTTGGGCACGCTCTTATTTTTTCTTCATAATAAAAAATCCAGATCCGATACACAAAACAAACCAACGGCTTCTTCTTCTTCTTCTTCACCTGCTTCATCTCCGAATTGGATACACCAAGTCTTCGTGAGCTTCACCGGGGAAGATGTCGGCGGATCCGTTCTCAGTCGCATTCAGAAGGAGTTCAGCAGAGAAGGTATCGAGCCATTCATTGATAATGGAATCAATAAGAGCAATTCGATCGACGCTGACCTCAGAGAAGCAATCAGAGGATCGAGAATCGCCATTGTCATGCTCTCGAGAAACTACGTTTCCTCGCTGCGGTGCCTTAGCGAGCTGGTGGAGATAATAAATTGCAAGAGAGAGTTGAGTCAACAAGTGGTGCCAATCTTTTATCAATTGGATCCAATTGACGTAAGAACGCAGACGGGAGATTTTGGGGAAGCCTTCAAGAGAACATGCGTGGGTAAAACGAAGGAGGACATTGGAAGATGGAGTCAAGCTTTGGAAGAAGTGGCAACAATCGCTGGTTACAATTCACGCAACTGGTTAGTCCACTCCACTCCTTATAGAAAGATGGTGGATGATGATGATTCACGCTTAGTATTATAATATTTTATTTTTATTTTCCCACTTTCATAGGGATGATGAAGAGGATATGCTCGAAAATATAGCCTCTGATATTTCCAACATTTTGAAGAATTCAACTCCATCAAGTGATTTCGAAGGATCTGATGGCTTACTACGACATGCCGTCTTCATCTTCTGCGCAGATGCATTACAGTACTCCTTGGCCAGCCATCTCTCCGTGGATTTCCGCCGGAAACGTATTGCTGCATTTGTGAACAGGACTGTGGATGTGATTGACGGAGCTACCGCTTATGTGGTGGTTTTCTCCAAGAGCTACTTGTCCTCCGCCTCATGCCTGGACAACCTCGTGAGGGTTCTTCAATGCTGGAGGAAAACCGGCCAGCTGGTGGTTCCAGTTTTCTATGGCATTAGTCCATCAGATGTGTTGGTGGTGCAGGAGCAGGAATCAGCAGATCGGATAAGAGAATGGACTAGTGCGCTCCAAGAACTGATGCAATTTCCAGGCCACCAGTCAAGGTATAACTTTCCACCTATCAAATCTGAACACCACACAGAAAAAAAATGTACTAACTCAAGGGTTTTATATGGAACTGATAGTGTTGTTATGATAGATTGAACAATAGGGTTCATAAAATGTTAGGCAACTTATCCCAAACATTTCTGCACTTTCTCCGAAAACTCACTTTATGATTTTTATACTAATGCAAACAGGGAGGAAAGTAGTGAGTGCCAAGTTGTGGAAGAGATTGTCGAACATGTGTGTGAAAAACTCTTTCCTACGGAACAAATTGGGATCAACTCGAGGCTGCTGGAGGTAGAACAGTTGCTTTGCAAGCAACCATGGGGTATCCGCCGGATAGGAATTTGGGGTATGCCTGGCATAGGCAAAACTACACTTGCTAAAGCAGTTTTTGACCAGATCTCTGGAGGTTATGAAGCTTCTTGTTTCATCAAACACTTTGACAAAGCTTTCCACGAGAAGGGTTTTCACCGTTTGTTGGAGGAACATTTTGGGAAAATTTTGAAGGAATTGCCTCGTGTGTGCAGTAGCATTACAAGGCCTAGCCTTCCCGGGGACAAATTGTGCAAGAAGAGAGCTCTTGTTGTTCTTGATGATGTGCACAATCATTTAGTTGCCGAGTCTTTTCTCGGGGGATTTCACTGGTTTGGTCCGGGAAGCCTAATTATCATAACCTCCAGAGACAGACAAGTGTTCCGCCTTAGTCGGATCGATCATGTGTATGAGGTTCAGAGCTTAAATGATAACGAGGCTCTGCTGCTACTCTCTCAGAGTGCATTTGGGAAAGATATAAGAGAACAAAATCTGTTGGAACTAGCAAAGGAAGTGATTGACTATGCTAATGGAAATCCATTTGCTCTCAGGTTTTACGGAAGAGAGCTTAAGGGAAAGAAACTATCAGACATTGAGACTACATTCCTCAAACTCAGACAACCTACTGCGTATAAGATCCATTATTTATTCAAGAGCAGCTACGAAACACTCAATGACAACGAGAAGAACATTTTTCTGGACATTGCTTGTTTCTTCGAGGGAGAAGATGTTGACTATGTGATGCAACTGCTTAAGGGCTGTGGTTTTTTTCCACATGTTGGGATTGATGTTCTTGTGGAGAAGTGTCTGGTCACTATTTCAGAAAACAGAGTGAAAATGCATAGAATGATCCAAGACTTTGGCAGAGAAATAATCAACGGAGAAACAGCACAGATCGAGAGGCGTCGCAGACTGTGGGAGCCTTGGACCATCAAGTTTCTACTTGAAGATGACAAACTTGAAGCAAATGGATATCCCAAAGCAACCTGTAAACGCGTTTTGGTCTGACATATTCCGAAATTTTCATATAAAACTTAGTTGCGTTTGGAGATGAGCTAACTTCTTGATTATCTGTTTCCCTTATATTTCAGGGCACTGAAGACATTGAAGGCATATTTCTGGATACATCGAATTTACTCTTTGATGTGAAGCCCACTGCTTTTGATGATATGCTTAACCTTAGATTCCTGAAGATTTACTGTTCCAATCATGAAAACGAGTATGGACTCCGCCTTCCAAGAGGACTTGAGTCTCTGCCTTATGAGCTTAGACTTCTCCACTGGGAGAATTATCCTTTGCAATCCTTGCCACAAGACTTTGACCCATGCCACCTTGTTGAACTCAATATGTCTCACAGTCAGCTTCAGACACTTTGGGGAGGAACCAAGGTAGGCATACTTATCATATCCCTTATTTTCTTCATTTTCCAACTTTATGTTAGTTCCTTTTCCAACTTACTTTTCTGTTCAGAACCTCGAGAAGTTGAAGACGTTTAAGCTTTGTCATTGCCAACAGCTGACTGAGATTGAAGATCTTTGTAGAGCTCCAAATACCGAGTTTATTGATCTCCAAGGCTGTACAAAATTGCAGAGATTCCCAGCCACAGGTCAATTACAGCATCTCAGAGTTGTAAATCTTTCAGGTTGCACAGAGATCACAAGTCTCCCAGAGGTTTCACCAAATATCGAGGAACTACATCTCCAGGGAACTGGCATAAGCGAGTTACCAATATCTATCGTGGATTACATCTCCCAGCAAGATAATTTGAACCGAGAGCTTTCCAATCTTCTAACAGAATTCTCAGGTGTTGCAAATGCTTTGAAGCTCGAGAAATTAACAGGCATGGTCCAAGTCGTTTCGTCATATCAGCATCTTGGCAAACTTGTTTTCCTGAATATGAGAGACTGTTATCATTTGCAAAGTCTGCCTCACATGGTTGATTTAGAATCTCTGGAAGTTCTTGATCTGTCTGGCTGCTCGGAGCTCAAGAGTATTCAGGGATTCCCACGAAACCTGAAAGAGCTATATCTTGTTGGCACTGCCGTGAAAGAACTTCCACCGCTTCCCTCAAGTATAGAACTCTTGAATGCACATGGTTGTGTGTCTCTTATATCAATTCCTATTGGTTTCGAGAGACTCCCTAGGTATTATACGTTCAGTAATTGCATTGCTCTTTCTGCACAAGTGGTCAGCGAATTTGTAAAGAACGCTCTGACTAATGTAGAACGCATCGCCAGAGACAATCAGATGGTACAGGAACTCAACAAATCTCTTTTTCTCTGTTTCTTCTCTGTTTCTAGCACACAATTTTTGTATCTGATTTACTTTGGCTTGCGACTACAGGAACTCAACAAATCTCTGGCTTTCAGTTTCGCTGTGCCTTCACCTGCAAGTAAAAAGTTCACTTGTGATCTGCAACCAGGGTCTACTGTGATGATACAACTGGGTTCTTCTTGGAGATCCACGCTCGGCTTTGCTATTTTAGTCGAACTTTCATTTCTGGAGGATTTCCACGAGGCTGGTGGTTTTAGCATTAGTTGTGTTTGCAGATGGAAAGACGAGGAATTCATCTCTCATAGCCTGGAAAAAAGCTTTCATTGTTGGACTCCAGAGGAAGGTGTTCCGAAAGATCACATGTTTGTTTTTGGTGATCTCAATATGCATCCGAGTGAAGGAAATGATCCCAGTATATTGGCTGATCTTGTCGTATTTGAATTCTTTACTGTGGACAAGCAGGAGAAGCTTCTATATGAGAGCTGTACAGTGACGAAATGTGGAGTCCATGTGATCACTGCTGCAAATGGAGATGCAAGTTCTAACATAGCTCAACCATTTTCGTCCTCGGATTCCCTGCAACAGAGTTGTGATAATGAGGTTGAAGAAGTATTGAGGGTCATCTTTGATGGCTTAGACGAGAATGACAGACATTTGTTTTTTTACATTGCATGTCTGTTCAATGACAATGAATCTGCTTTCCTGGCACGGCTTAGAGCTAGCATTGGCTTGGGGAATAGTTCTAGGCTCAACTTATTAGCCAAAAAGTCTCTCATACATATAACTCCCTATGGTATTATAGTGCCGCATTGTTTAGAGAAACTTGGTCTACTTGAGAAACTTGGTTTACTTGAGAAACTAGGTAGGGAGATCAAAAAGGATTATTTTTTTCTTTTACTTCTTCTTTCACTTTCTGATCTCTCTGCCTTTGTGATTAATCAGCCTCGACGAACCACCACAGCAATGAAACAGAGTTCTCCTTCTCGTACACGGCAACAACCACCGCGACGTCATGCAGCAGCGTCGAAAGACGGAGCCAATTCTCTGAGGCGGTGAGCGAGTGTTCCACTGGGACTATGAGTAATTCCGGTCTGTTACTGGAATCGCCAAATCTCAAAGTGTACACCTTTCTGGATCTAAAGACGGCAACCAAGAATTTCAAACCGGATTCAATGTTGGGTCGAGGAGGTTTCGGGACAGTTTACAAAGGTTGGGTCGACGCGAAGACTCTTGCTCCGTCTAAAGCCGGTTCCGGTATGACCGTCGCAGTCAAAAGATTGAATTCCGAGAGTTTTCAAGGATTTGCTGAGTGGCGAGTAAGATCTAATATCTCTCTAATTTCAATAAACAATTGCGATATCAGTGTCTTCTTTGACGAATCCATGTAGCATAATTATTTTGAAAATTTGGTAAAAGTTATCTGGATTCTTTAGCAACGGTTAGTTGGAAATATTTTGAAGTCCTAGATCTTCGAGTTATATAAGCTAAATCAGACTTGTGTATGTTTTTGGACAGTCAGAGGTGAACTTCTTGGGGACGCTTTCACACCCAAATCTGGTCAAGTTATTGGGATACTGTCGTGAAGACAAAGAGCTCCTGCTTGTCTACGAGTTTATGCCCAAAGGGAGCCTTGAGAATCATCTTTTTCGACGTAATTAAAATCTCTTAAACCCATCCATCTTTATAACAGAATTGATTCCATTCAAAATTTAATTTACTTTGCATGATTGTCAATTAACTAGGAAACGAGCCTTTTCCTTGGGAGCTAAGGATGAAGATTGTGATCGGAGCAGCTCATGGCCTTGCGTTTCTACATAGCTCACAAAGAGAAGTCATCTGTAGAGATGTCAAAGCCTCCAATATACTTCTCGACTCGGTTAGTATATTCCAAAAGAATGCCATTACATGAGAGTTGCGATAATCTGAAGAATCTCTAATCTTTTCTGTTTTTCATATGTGCAGAATTATGATGCAAAGCTTTCGGATTTCGGATTAGCAAAGCTAGGGCCAGCACATGAGAAGTCTCACGTTACGACTAGGATCATGGGCACACATGGTTACGCTGCTCCTGAATATATGGCAACAGGTACATGTGTTTAGGTTAGAAATCACAATCGAACATGAGAAGAGACAAACACAAGTATACATAAAATATATATCAAGTTATTATGAGCCAATCCATTCATTTTCAGGAGAACCATTAATTAGTTTATTTTCTTAATTCTCAGGCCATTTATACGTTAAGAGTGACGTGTACGCATTCGGTGTGGTCTTACTAGAAGTAATGACCGGACAAAGAGCGCACGACACGAAACGGCCTTACGGACAAGAGAATTTAGTCGACTGGTTAAGACCAGATCTCTCAAGCAAACACAAAGTGAAACGACTAATGGACAAAGGAATCGAAGGTCAATACACAACCAAAGTGGCGACCGAAATGGCACGCATCACTCTTTCTTGTGTCGAGCCAGACCAGAGGAACCGACCGCACATGAAGGATGTTGTAGACGTGCTCGAACACATCCAACGGATTAACGTCGTCCCAGGACGTTCCTCCACTAAACCGGCCGTTTCTAGCTCTACCCAGTCGTCAGCACGAACCAAATCCTCTTCCGCAAATGTTTCAAACTGGTGGTCCTTTCGGTAGATTGTGAATTCTGAAGATACAAAACCGTTTGTTCTGAAGATACAAAACCGTCTAGATACAAGTTTCAAAGGAACTAAAGATTTTGTCTATATTGATTTACTAAATCCACCCTTTACCAATTCAAGTCGAATGAAACATAAGGGAGGAGCCAAGCTCAACCAAAGGAAAATGAAACATATCAAAACTGAAGACATAAAATTTATATTGAATAAATTCTACTTGATAGAGAAAGGTCTCAAAGAACTTTATGGTAAATCTCAAGGTTTCAAAAAAAGGTCTAAGCAAAAATCCAAAAAAAGTGAACACTTTCATCTTGAATAATCTTTCTCTCCTTAGTCTTGCTTGGCAGCAAGAGCAGCAGCTTGACCTCTGAGACGACCGGTTCTCCTTGCAGCAATAAGACCAACCTTTTTTCCGGGTGGTGCATCACGACGAACAGTACTGGCGTGACCAATATGTTGATGGTTACCTCCTCCGTGAGGATGCTCCACTGGATTCATAGCCACACCACGAACCTTAGGCCAGCAGTTTCTCTTCACACGGTACTTGTGGTACGCGTTTCCTGCTTTGAGCATCGGCTTCTCTGTCCTTCCACCTCCTGCAACTTGACCAACCATGGCCCTGCATCCACTTGGCACAATCTTCTTTGATCCCGATGGCAACTTAATCCTGTCAACAACCATTTGCAACTCTCAATTGTTAGAACAAAGCCATTTCCGTAAAAATGATATGAAATTCAAGCTTTTAAGCAACCATTTCTACTACAATCCAACCCAATCAGTCAAATGATTCATGAGAAATAGAAAAAACAATAGCAATAACACAATTCAGCAGAGGAAAACAGATATACAGTTTCAATCACAAGCGAAATATTGAAACTTGGCGATAAGAATAGATCATTTTCACCAATCAATTCTAAGAAAACAAGCATTTCTACTGTAATCTAACGAAATCAGCCAAATGATCAATGAAATTTAGCAGAAATGAAATGATAATTTATAATTTATACTCAATTTCATCCAATCACCAGCAGAAGTATCGAATATATTCAAACGGGAAAAAACCTGCTGGTGTCGTTGTCAGGGTTGTGAGAAACAACAATGGCGTAATCACCAGAAGCTCTAGCGAAAACTCCACGGTCACCAACATGGTGCTCGACGTTGCAGACAACAGCTCCCTCAGGAATAGATCTGAGGGGAAGCACATTTCCGACGACGAGGGTGGCCTTCTTACCGCAGTAGAGAAACTGACCGGTGTACATGCCTTCGGCGGCGACGAAGAGCTCCTTCTGCTTCTTGTAACGGAAAGGATGACGGAAGGCGACGCGAGCCAACGGAGCACCACGTCCCGGATCGTGGATGATCTCGGTGACAACACCCTTGAGGTAACCATTTCTCTCGCCGTAATCGAGGCTCCTGAATTTCGCTGGGCCTTTACGGTGGTGAGTGTGGGACTTGAAGACGGAACCAGCTCCCTTACGTTGAGCTCTGATGACACGACCCATGGCGGAGGATGATGGTTTTTCTTCAGCTTACGGCGATTAGCTTTATGTAGACGAAGAGAAAAAAAACCAACTTTATATCATTTCAGTCTCTCTCAAAACCCTAGCGGGCTAAGATGGATTTATCTTAAATGGGCCTTTGGTCAAAGCCCAGACTAAAATACCGGGAAATATTAAGATTTTGAATCGTTTGGATCAGTCAAATCCATCAAATGTTTTCAATGCACCTGCTCGCACTGGAGAGCTGTCTCCTCGTATTCCGTTTTATTTCTTTTTGTAAAAAGAGGAACAAATGGCGATTATTATTAAAAAATAAAACTTTTTTGAAAATGAGGAGTTGTCTGTTTGTGGAGCGTCAAAGTTGAAAAAAAGCGACAGCATAAAAATCATCCACCCGCTCCTTCTTCTCTGGCACCAACACGCTCCTCCCACTTTCTTCTTCTTCTTCTTCTTCTTTCTCTCTCTGTTCTTGCTCAAGGAATCTTCGCGCGCTCTGAAGTTTGTGTGGACTCATTTGTCCAGGTATGCTTGTTTTCCGATTTTTAGCTAAGCTTGAAAAAAAGATTGTAGTGTACTTTTTCGGATTTAGAGATTGAAATTCTCTAAGCGAAGTTATGGATTCTACTACTGTTTGTATGTTTTAAGTGAGATAGTGTAGCTGAAGAATAGGTGATGATGATCGAGTTTATGTGAAGAACTTAAGGCACATTTGAGTAAATTTTTTAAATGATTTCGAATTTCTACTATAAATGTGTCTCTCTCATATTTTCTCTTACTGTATTTTGAAACTGAAAAAAAAAAAACAGAGGAAAAACAAAATAGGTGGGTGAAAGAAGTCCGTATTGAGAAAGTAATCATTAATTGCCATTCATTGTAGAAAAAAAGAAGAAAACAAAACGGTCACTGTTGGAGTTATAGCCTATAGGCATAAATATTGCGGGATTTGTTGGATGTTGAGATTGAAAGTAACATTTACGGAATCTTTGGAAGATTTTTGTTTCCTTTTTTGGATGTTAGTTCAAATTTCAAAACTTTTTCCATGTCGGAACAACAATCATTCAGTTTTTGTTTTATTACTATCAAGCTAAATTTCTTGCTTTTTATAAACACAAATATGCAGAGTGATCTTTGAGAATTAACTTAAGGTGCAAAAAAATGGAGGGTCGAAGTTGGCCATGGAAGAGAAAGTCTTCGGACAAAGCCACGACCGAGAAACCAGTGGTTGGAAACGAGTCAACTAATGTTTGTTCTTTGTCCTACTTAGCCTCTCTGGAGAATCAGGTATAGCTTTCTTTTAGCAACAAAGCTCTGTTTTTTTTTATTTTGTTGACATAAAGAAATGATTTTTAATGAATATAAATCTGAAGTCTTTTGTGGAATTGTGTTATGTGTGTCAGGAGAAGTGTAAAAACACAAACTATGTTCAGATAACTATGGATTCATACACACATATGAGTAAAATGGAGGATCAAGTCAAATTGTTTGAGAGTGAAGTTAAGGATCTTCAAGAAAAGCTCTCTCTTGCACACTCAGAGATCAAGACTAAAGAAAGTTTGATTCTTCAACATGCCAAAGTCGCTGAAGAAGCTGTTTCAGGTAAGTAAACAAAACCTCAATAAATCCTAAAATGCTATGTAATGAGATTCTGATTAGTGTGTTTGTTCTTTAGGATGGGAGAAGGCTGATGGAGAAACTTTGGCTCTAAAACGTCAGCTTGAGACTGTTACACTCTCAAAGCTCACTGCAGAGGAACGAGCGTCGCATTTGGATGATGCGTTGAAAGAGTGCACGAGGCAGATAAGGATTGTGAAAGACGAGAGTGAACAGAAGCTGCAAGATGTGGTTCTTGCTAAGACCATTCACTGGGACAAGATCAAAGCCGAGCTTGAAGGAAAGATCGACCGAGCTGCTTCTGACAATGCGGCGCTTACAAGATCGTTGCAAGAGAGATCGGATATGATAGTGAGGATCAGTGAGGAAAGGTCTAGAGCTGAAGCTGATGTGGAAAAGCTCAAGACTAATGTTCAGTTGGCTGAGAAGGAGATTAATTCGTTGAAGTACGATGTTCATGTGGCTTCAAAGGAAGTGGAGATCCGTAGCGAAGAGAAGAACATGAGTTTGAAGTCAGCGGAGGTGGCAAACAAACAGTATCTTGAAGGAGTGAAGAAGATTGCAAAGCTTGAAGCAGAGTGTCAAAGGCTAAGAGGGCTTCTGAGGAAGAAGCTTCCTGGTCCTGCTGCTATGGCTCAGATGAAGCTAGAAGTTGAAAGCTTAGGGCTTGAGTCAACTTCTGCTAATGATCATAAGTGGGAAGAGTGCAAAAGAGAGAATGTATATCTCACAAGAAAAACATTGGAAATGGAGGAGGAGATTCTGGCGCTTAAAGAACACCTCTCTGCACGTAACAATGAGCTTCAGGTTTCGAGAAATGTGTGCGCTAAGACTCTCGGCAAGCTCAAGATTCTTGAAGGGCAAGTGCATGTGTTTAGTAGTGACAAGAACGCTTCAAAATCAAATGGAAGAAACATTTCTGAGAGTCCATCTAGTGTAATCTCAGTATCTGAAGATGGATTTGATGAAGAAGGAAGTTCCTCTGAGTGTGGCCAAGCAAATTCAACAGATTCTCATAAAGCAAGAAAAGTAAGTGTTGATGGTAGCTCGAAGCGTAGGGTTTCTAATAGACTTGAGTTAATGGATGACTTCTTGGAGATTGAAAAGTTAGCAGCTAATGATCCAGATGGAGCTAACTCAGCTTCAAAGTCTTCCGTTTGCAGTAGCAAGTCCAGTGAGCAAGATGAGGATACAACAACACTTGAGCAGATGTTAAAGGTGCTTCGCTCAAGAATCAACAGGATTTTTGAATCTCAAGAAGGCATTAGCATTGAGAAAATAGTTGAAGCTGCAAGACTTTCTATCCAAGAGATGCAAGGATCACAACTCTCAAGAAGTCCTCTGTTTGAAGTAGCTGATGAAACTCTAGAGAAACATGTTTTGTCATCTCAAGATGCCGAAAGCAAAGAAAATGCTCAGAAGAAACAAGATTTGGGCGCAGCTGTTTCCAACATTCACCATTTCATAAAATCAGTAACAAAGGAAGCAACACAACCTCAGGAGATGCATGGTAATGGACTGAGTGAGAGATTGGAGGATTTCTCTTCATCAGTTAGTAAATATTCGACCGGCGAATCAAGCCTTTCTGACCTTATTCTAGCACTCTCCCGCATTTCGGTTCTAGCTAGTCATCTAAACAATGGTGCTTTGAGTCTCAAGCACCATAGTAAAGAGACTGCAGAGTGCATCAACAAGGTTACAATGCTAGACAAAGAGACTGATCCAATGGAAGACACATTTGCTAAGACAGAGGATCACCGTGGAGATAATAACTTAACCAATGGTCATGAGTTCTCTGCTTCATCATATAAGAGCTTGTTGAAAGAGAAGGAACAGCTAAAGTTGGAGAAAGAGAACACTGCGTTGGAATTATCAACATGCTTGCAGAATCTTGAAAGTGTAAAGGTGGAGTTGGAAGAAAAAGAGCAGATGATATCAGAGCTAAACTCAAAGCTCACTTCTTCAGGGGACTTACAAAGCTTGGCAGAAACTCAGCTGAAATGCGTGACTGAGTCATACAAATCGCTTGAAGTCTGCACTAAAGATCTAGAAGCTAAAGTGAAAAGACTGGAAGAAGAGACAGAGAGACTTGAAATGGCTTTCTCAAAGGAAAAACATGCCCATGAGGAGACTCTAGCTAAATGCAGAGACCTTCAAGATAAAATGCAGAGACTTTCTCAATCCAAACTACAGCCTAATCAGGTACATTTCTTACTATTTTCTTCTTTATAAGACATCCGTTTTGTGTCATCTACTATTCTAATGCAGTTAGCAATAAGACTCTTAACCAAAATCTATAATCTTTCTTGTTGGAATGGCAGGAGAAAGACATAGCATCTGCAACAGAAAAGCTTGCTGCTTGCCAAGAAACAATTCACTTACTCAGCCAACAGTTACAATCATTGCAGCCTCAGAGCAACCACATTCCCAAATCTCACTCCCCTGAGAAGAAGCTTGAACAGCACAAAACTTCAGAAGCAACACCAAACTCTGCAGTTGATGATCTTCCCCATGATCATATCCTTCAACCATCTCATTCTTTTAGACACGCAGTGAATCCAACGGTCCACGCAATCATCAAGTCTAGCTCGGTTTCTTCATCTTCCAAAGAAGATAATGAGAAGCATACGCGTGGATTAGCCCGTTTTTTCTCTTCTAAACAGAAGAACAATGGACGTTAAAAAGAAGCTAGGAGATAACACACTCATTATCTTCTTCTTGTTCATTTGATTTGCACCTTCCTTCTTGATATGTGTATATGTTTATATATATGCGTTTTGTGTATGTGAGAAGAGAACAGTTTTAGTGAAAAGCAATCTTTTGAGAAGAGAACAGTTTCGTAAAAAGTACGACACTCTACCGATGAATATCAAAACTATAATATTTGAAAAACAAAATCGAATTATGTATGTCAACTATCTCATAACAAATAGTGCTAGGCATCGACATTAAATGGTCTATAATTCAAAAAGTTTACCGTTGGATCCATATTTTCATTCGATTTCTCTCTTGACAGGGTTTTAATTGGGATGTGAATATCCATGAAAATGACTCAACCAAAAAATTAAAGCAAGTTTTCCAAAGGAGCAATGGTTTCAGTTTCATATGAATAATGGTTTAGACAATAAAATTAGCAACGTGAGGTCCATGCAACATAAAAACAATAATGTAATCTTCATGGATTTAAAAAAAAAAAAAATAAGAAGAAAAAAACAAGGTTAGAAAAAGGACAGAAAATAGATCAAACAGATAATGCTCATCCATGTCAAGCAGACAAGGTGTAGACTCAAAGCAACTTGAGAGTATGGGCAAGCCTGAGTTTGTACAGACAAATGATTTCTTTCGGTTTCAAAAGTCTTTTTATTGAGTAAAATATACATTTATCTTGTTTGTGTTGTTCTGAATATGATATTGGGAATTTATTTGTGTTGTCTGGTATTCCAGTTTAAAACCAGAACATATGATAACTGTGTGCGCTTATTGGATTAAATGACAAGATTTCTATAAAAAAAATGAATAAAGAAGAGGAAGAGAGAAGAGTCAAGATAGGAGAGACATTGTGGCTTACATGTTCTGCCTTTCAAACAACAACTCATCTCTCCAAACACATTTTCTAACACACACATTGTCGACTTGTTGCAATCGTATATTTAGAATAAAATATACTTAGGTAATTCTAAAAATACCACAAAATTAGTTTTTGTTATTTCCAAAATACCACAAAAAGTTTTCAAACTTTCTTTATCTGCCATGATTAATGCTACCGCCAGATAATGAGATAACGCTTATACAGTTATACGCATTGACAAATATTGAAGGCGGCCTGCGAAAGTATGACTATGATCGAACGAAGAAGAAAAAAGAGAGACAAATGGAACAAATGATAAATTATGAAAACGACTCAAAAACAATGATCGAACCCCACTCAAACAGAGACTACCATGTAGACTTTGGATCATAACGATTATTTTCTTACGATAGTATTGAATTCTATTGACTCTAAAAGTTCATACCATCTAGACTAGTTTTATGTGTATGAATTTTTCAACGATAAATAAGGCCTGTCTAACGAAAATCGATCCATAACCTAGATAAAAAACCGGAACCAAAACTGTGTCTAACCGAACTGAACACTTCGATATTTGTAACAAAACGTAGTCGGAATAAATAAAATTCTTTATTCCAAATAAATACAAATAAACTAGCTATTCCTCTCAAGAACCAACGGTCAACAATACACGTTGACTTGAGGGAAAAGTCACCAACCCAAACTAATATACAAAGTATTCAGGATAAACAGAAACAAAGACGCCGGAAATATATATATAATAAAGAAAAAGAAAAATCCGAAGAGAGTGGTTAATTCAAAAACTGTTAGATATATAAATATAGCCACAAATCTTGAGTCGATGCTTAACGCGATCCCCGCCATTTGCTTCCGTCTTCTTAGCAAAGAAAAAACCTAAACAATATTATGTATGTAGTCCTTATTTTTTGCTTCTTGCTTTTCTTGATAGTAACTTTGACGTTTCGATCTTCCGTGTCTAGAGTATGACAATGTGATCAATTCCTTAAGAACCTTGAAGGGGATCATAATCTCGAGAGATGACCAGTTGAGCTACGATGAGTCCTCTCTCAAAATCGAGTATTATCTGAACATGGAGATGAGAGATCGAAAGACGAGTTCATCACAAGGGATGGTGAGACCCATGTCGTGCTCAAACCCAAACTCTTCCTCGGCTAGTTGGAGGAGTGTCTGAAACTCGGGATGAGCTAGCCATGAGATTGGGACCACATATCGACTCCGGTGTTGACCGACGTAGACCGGGAAGTGACCTTTTGGCACGTCGTTGAAGTAGCAATTGCCTTGATTCTTTTTTCCAAGACTTGAACATCTCTTCAAGATTTTCTTTAGAGTTGCTGCTTGAGACGCCGCCACTTTGTTTGACTTCTTTATCGCCATGATTTCAGCTTATTGAAGCGTAGTTTTCCGAGAAAGAGAGAGATCAGAAAAGAGAAAAGAGAGAGAGAGAGTTTGGTATGTTTGAAGAAAGGTGTGGATGTGAATGTGAATGTGGTGGGGAGGAATATGGAGGGGTATTTAAGGGCACAATGTGAGAGAGAATGAAAGAGAGAGAATGGAAGAGTTTATCAAAATTAATAAGAAAATCTTATATTGTTGTTTTTACATAGATTTTTTAGGTTTACTTATGACTTTTAGAAAATTTGTGGCTAGGTTATATGTATTATTACACAATAACGACTAATTCATGCAGAAACACATGAGGTGTTTTCCTTGGTGACCAATCATATTAATGCAAACGACGAAACGAACCCGCGTAAATATGTACAATCCGCGTAAAATATAAATTTGAATCTCATCAAACTCAATATACTTTTTATTGGTACATTAGTTATTATTTTATGTTATTGTGAAAGCATATATCATGTGGGATGTAGGACGAGAGCAAATTTAGAGACAATGCCATAAGGAAAAGAGAGGAAAAAATGTGAAAGAATGCATACAAAATAAAATTGGAAGTTCTTATAAATAAGGTAGGGACTGTTACATTGCCCTACATTGTCTCCCTTTTGTGTTTTCATTTAGACACAACTCTACAAATTAATACAGGTACTGTCCATTTTCTCTTTACTTCTTATACTCTTCAGATTTTGTCTCTACTGAAACTTCCAATTTTTATTACAACTAATATATATAAATAAATAAACAGTATGGCAGTTAATATACTTATATACCCGTTTTGTCATAAATTGATTCCGTTGCAAAGGGATTACGGAAGAAGTATAAAGATATGTGAACCAAAGTACGTACTTGCATGATCACATGTCTTTTTGCTACAACTAGAGTTGCCAACAATTTAATACCCATTATTTTTCTTTTTCTTTTTTATTTATTTATTCCCTTCATTTATCTATAAATTGGCATGGAAAAAAATTAATACATAGTTCGGTGGTTTTATCTTTTTTTCTTGTTCGGAGTGCATTCGGAAAAATTACTCTAAACTGAGTTCTGTTTGTTTGTTTGTTTTTTTGTTTTTTTTCTGATAATGTTCTGAGTTTGTTACCGTTTTGGTAAAGTGTGACTAAAATCCGGTTTGGCTCAATTGTTTCAGAAAGTTAAATCATCTACTTGGTTTCCCGATAAGAAAAATTAGATAACAAATTACAAATGTATGGGAAAAGGAAAAGCCAAGCAATATAATAAATTGTCCCCATGTGAATATTTGAAAGCGAAAACAAGTGCTTAGGTTGCAACCTAATCTTTTGTTCAATTGATAGTATCAAATCCATGCAAGTTCCTATCTCATTTTGCTGATGCCTTGTGTTCCACGTACTTCTTTCCTTTTATGTTCAGTTTTATTTTTCTTTCTTGTTAAATCCTTTTTTCCTTTCATTTTAATCATCATCATCAAACATTTTCACCTTTGAGTTTGTGATAATTCCAATCTAACTAATTGAAAAATTTCCGTGGTAGAAACGGCCATATCGTGTATAACTTGACAGCCAAAAAAGGAAAGTTTAAAAGTTGATTGAAAAGGACTCTTTGGCAGTTCTTACACTATTTTTGTCATCCAATATATCGACATCTAAAATAGAAAAAACAAATCAGATGAATTTTACAAATTATTTGTTTGTTCAATTTGCATAGGTAGAACATATATTATAAAGATGTAATTGCTAAACTTGTTTTTCGAAATACAAAAATAAAGTTATACGTAGTAAAAAATCAACTAGATAGTACTAGAAAATCAACTTAAAATAACTTCGGCAACATTTTACGGTAATATATGACCGTAATCAAAAAGTAGCCAATATTTTCTTCTTCTGCTTATTCGAAGTTTAGAACAACACAATATGATACTTGAAGTAAGTTATTATACAATATATCTTTCTTAAAATTTGATTTCAGTGTTTCAAATAAGTAACCTTTTAAGATTTGTTTTGTTTTAAAGATTTTAGCATCGTTCAAGAAATAACGACAAAAGAGAAAGAAGTAAGAAAGAAGATCTTTCGGTCGACTCTCGACTAATAAGAAAAGAGGTCAAGAGTTTGGCTTTGACTTAAACATCAAACAGGGGAGGGATATAATATAATTCCTATCTTCTTAAAATGATACGAAAAACGTTAAAAATTTACACTATTTATGAAAACGTAAGAGAGGAGAAAAGTAAAACTCAACACTGAACCTGAAACGTGGAAGATGGGATTTTGTCGTATTTATAGACAATACTTAGTATAAAAGAAAGAAAACAAAAGAGAGATGGTGTGTGTAGGGACGAAGGAAAAGGAGAAGGAGACAGTGAGAGAATCAGGTGGAAGTGAAACGAAAGGAAAGGAACAACACTTAACACTTGGCTCTCCTGAATTGCCGCTTCTGTTGTGGTTACAACTTGTAGACATGATCCCTCACACTCTTCATTACCCCACACCCATATTCATCCTCATCATCATAACTCTTGATCGGATCTTAATTTATTTTGGACATATTTCGACTAATCTTTTTATATGTTCAAAGGATATTTACCCGACTTGGTATGCAACCTTTAGTGATTCGAACCTTGCTATGATATATGTACATATGTAGGTGTAGCTCAACATCAATTCCCAACAATAGCTAGTAATTAATTAGGATAAGCGACTGGCTAACAACCTCACAAGCTCTATCCAGTTTAGTGCAACATACGAATCAACTGGAAAAAGGTATCTGTTTTGGTTTCTCTCAGCCACATTATTCGTCAATACATTTTGATATATCATCGATTTTACTGTTTTACTTATATGGCCACCGTAAGACCTACGTTTATGAATACCTACCTTCACAAATTTTGATTATACAAGACTAATTCGATTGATTTTTCAAATGTATTTATGTTACCAAACGCAAACACAAACGCTAGTAATTTCATTTGAAACACTCATGCCGAAAAGTTGAATTATGTGATCTTAACCCTGTATCCTTTGATATGCTTTTGATATGCTTTGGAAACTACAAATATCATACTTTTTAATACCTTGGACAGTTACTAACATGTCTGCAACAAAAATAATACACTCGAACCTTTAAAGGACAGTACAAAAGAGGTTGGTTTTGCAAGTTAGGTATGATTGATGTGATGTAGTTACAAGGCAAAGTCACACTTATCAGGCTTCAATGATAGGGTTTCTATTTTTGTTTTTCCTCAAATTTTCTTCTTACTATTTTTTTTTTTTTAAAGGTAGAAAAGGGACAGCTCCTAACGACAAAATGCATAAAGCCAATACTTTACAAATCCAATTATAATTGAGATTTGTTTTGAAAGAGTCATTTTCCCGTTTCCCATACAAATTCAATTTCAACTTCAAAGACTGTAAAAGGGACAGCTCCTAGCGACAAAATGCATAAAAGAATATTTGAACTAATATTCTTGAAAAGATATTATAAAATAAAGATATTAGAACTAAGATTATCAATAAAAACAAAACAAAAAATCCCCCAATTAAATTTCCTACAAATCCATCCATCTTCCAGTCCAGAAAAACTTATCAAATGCATAAGAAAATCGTGGGGAAAAAACCTCAACTACACCAATGGAAGTAATCAAGTTTTTTTCTAAAACAAGACAGTTAGATGTTAAACAAATATATAAATGTCTGCTAACTCCATAAGTGTACAACCAAAGAGAGTCGCAGAAGAGTAGCTCGTAGCCTCATATCTCTAAACACTGTAGGATCACCATGTCTGCAAAACTGTATGACTCTCCCATGTGGCACTTATTTTCCAACAACAACTCAGCAAAGTCGTAGGCACCACAAGCAGACAAATATTCCTCCAATAAAATATGAGCCACAAGTCTTGATTTTGGATAATTTATGACTATAGAAGTTTTTATTTTTTTCCTCCCCACCACCACGTTCTAAGGCCACTAGAGCAAAGCATTGTCTTCTGTCCTTCAACTGATTAAAACTCTTTGCAGTTTTTTTAATGTCAAAGTTGATGTGAGACTCTCTGATAACTGTCAGTGTCACAATCTGTATTTTCGAGTTCCTCTTTTCTTAAGGAGAAGTGAATGTGTTTTTTCTTCCATATTTAGAGAGACTAAAGAAGTCATTTCAAAGTGTTTCCTGTTTGTGAATGGCTAAAATTGGTGGATATTCTCATGTTCTGTGAATGAAAATGACCAATGGAGGAAATGATTTATTACATTACAGGACAAGGAGGCAATAACCTGTCGATGTGACAATGGTGGAAGTATTTGATCGTTTCTGCTTGTGTTCTTCCACTGATTCCACGACCCGTAAAAAGTTGGTTTTTAATGATCTGGCTCCATAAAGAAGAAGTAAGACAGATATGAACAATGCAACAGTCCAGGTTGAAAAAGTTGATTTATGTGATCTTGAACCAGCACTATTGTCTAAACTTAATTGATATAAATGCTTTGGAAACTATATATATCATATGTTTTAGTTATGTTGACAGTGTCAACAGAACAACGATGCTTGCATTATTCAAAGCCATGTTCTACAGATAGTTACCAGAATGTCAAATCTGAACAAAGAAAATAATCTGATAGCAAATCAAACACGCCTACTAATATGTCCCAGGATTACACCTCGATGATCTTCAAGATGCAGAATCAGATGTTTGAAGCATTCAAAGCCATGAATTTGCATTGTTCATTCAAGGCCAGAAGCTGAGCTTCTTTCTTGTCAAGAAGAGTAGCTAGCTTCACATTCTCCTCCATTAGCTTCTGAATCTCCACCTCTTTCTGCGCTTTCTCGCCTTCCAGTTGCGTCGACTTAGCAACCAACATGCTTTGACAATAAAACACATATGAGAATGGATTCAGTAATTACATATTTTGTTGTACCTTTGCATTTGAACAGCTAACAAGTGGCAAACGGAAGAGATGAGACTGACCAGTGTAATTGCCCATCTGATGAAAGAAGTGTTTCTACAGCATCAGGGGAAGTAATAGTATTGACGTAATTTCTAAGTGACTCGCACTCTGTCTTCACACGACGTAGCTCCTCTTCGTTTTCCACAGCTATTTCTTTAGCTCTCCTACTATCTTCAACTAGTTTCTTGATTATCTCCTCTGTTTCGTCTAGCATAGTTTTATTCCCATTTAGAATCCGTTTCATCTCTCCCAACCTCAAGGACATGTTCTCGATTTGGACTGTCTTCCTTCTAATCTCTTCTTCCCTCACAACCAGCCTCTCCTTTTGAAACGACGTTTCAGATTCTGCCGATGTGACCTTCCTCAAAAGAGACTCAAGCACATCCGCAACCATCTGTATGGACTGGAGCATCTTCAAACTACAGGATGCTCCATCCTCTGTAGCCACTTCAGAAAATGAACTAACATCTTCGAGTGCTGGATGGTTTAGACCAGGAACGGTCAAGATCGTAGCTTTTGAGCTCAAATAACGTAAGCTCGCTGCAGCTGATTTGACCCTACCTAACAGAACCCCTAATGTTTCCTCTGAACCATCCTCAAGGGAAGTCTTGGCATCAACAATATTATCTACAAGGAGCTGACCAGATTTGATCTCAGAACTCCACATCTCTAGGGCTTCGCTTGGTAATGAATCTTGTGCACTAGTATCCATGTAACCAGCCATTTCTCAACCTCTTTGTTTCAGAACTACAACAAAAGAAGAAATCTTCTTCCTACAATAATATAAAAAGAAGCCTCCTTTAGAATCAGAAACTAAATCCAAATCAGCATTATCTAGATTCTAGACTAGTTTAAGGGCAGAACCAACTTGGTTGACCTAAGAATAAAGAATATAAATATCAAAAGGGCTAACAAATAATGATAATGTGTTTAAGTCTCTTGTTGACTGAGCAATGACAATGACTGAGATGAAGATTGAAGATCAAAAGAACTGTTGAACAAGATAAATGATCTAAGAGCAACAACAGATATACACACAACCTTTTAGCTTCCTTTGATTTCGAAACAATTTTAGGTTAGTGGGTTTTCTCAGAAACTGTGAAACTGAAATTGAAATCAATCAACCCAAGATCAAGACATAAACAATCAGTGGTTTTTGATCGTATTAGCACTAGAGTTTTAAACCTGATCTAAAATCATCTGAGCTATTGAAACGAAATGATACCGGAGAAACTCAGAGATAAGCTAAAATTTCACAAGAGAAACCGCAGAAATTCTTGAGAAGTCGAGAGCAAGGATCTGGAATTAAGCGATTGAGCAAATTAATGGCAGAAAAAAAGGATACTTACAATTCCCAGAAGGTAAAGTTTCGGAATTTGCTCCTGCTGATTCCTCTCCGTCGCCGATTAGACGATTGGCAGAGAATTACAGAGATTTGGGGAAGATTCAATTCTGCTTTTGCTGCTCCTACCGTTTAAAAGGAAACTCTTTTTTTTTTTTTTTGTTGACAGATGTTTGAATTGAGAATTGAGAAATCTGAAAGCTTTTTTGAACAATTAGATTTCAGACCATAATTAGTGTCGGAAATATACATACATAGACTATAATTATGGTCTAAAATCTAATTGGCTTTATTCAACGGGTCCGTTAGTTTAACTAATGGGCCTTTAAAAAGCCCATACGGAGCATTAAGTTTTGTTCCTGTGTAGTCCGCCCTAGAGTTAATTAAATCCGTCAATTATTGAAGACGACTCAAACTCTCAAAGTAAACGAACTCTGAAATCTCGAATCCGTACAAACCGAAACTTGTACGGAAACACAGAGGATAATGAAGCCAATCGAAGACGAAGAAGACGATGTTTTCCTCAGCAAGTACCAGCCATCGGAGCTTAAAGTTTCTTCGGAATTTCTAACGACGTGGCTTCCTTTCTTATCTAGAGATCTCTGCAAAGACTGCGTCCATCTTCTCTCCCATCGAATCCGTTCTCTAGACCCAGGTCCGTCACGTTTTTCGAAACTCTCATTCGTAGTAGTGAGAGTGAATTAAAGCACACATGAATGTAGATTCTTGGGAATTAAGGCTAATTCTTGAGATCTCTCTGTATTTGGAATTTCATCTGATGTGTAAATTGTGTTTTGCTTATTACAGAGCATTGTAGTAATAAGGTAGAGACGGTTAATGGAGAAGACAAAGCTGTTTCTGAGACGGCGAGTCCTGTAATGGCTTGGGCTGATATGGCACTAGAAGATTGTCTCAAGGAATATGAAAAGAAGGAGAGTGAAGAATTAGATACAGAGGAAGTTGAAGACTCGATGAAGACTCCGGAGAAGCGTAAACTGTCTAGAGAGGAAAGAGAGCAGTATCGGTTTATGAATGTGAAGAGAATGGAAGTGTTTTCATGTTTTGAGAGAGTTGAAGGAAAGCGCGTTAACATTCTCGAAGGGCTTGAGTTGCATACCGGTGTTTTCAGCGCGGTCGAGCAGAAGAGGATCGTTGATCATGTCTATGAACTACAAGAGAAAGGTCTTAAAAGGAGAGCTTCAAGGTTAGTTAGTTTAGTCTTTTACATTCAATTATGAATATGTTAAACTTATACTGTTTCCAATGTATATAGAGCGTACTTTTACTGCTCCGCATAAGTGGATGAGAGGCAAAGGACGTGTCACTATTCAGTTTGGATGTTGTTATAACTACGCAACAGTGAGTGACTCTTTTCTTCTATTCACATTTTGATGTATTCTTGTGAATGTGAGAAGAGTTTTTTTATTGACAGGACAAAGCAGGAAACCCACCAGGGATTCTTAAAAATGGAGCGGTTGATCCAATACCGTCGCTGTTCAAAGTGATAATCAGAAGGTTGATAGGTTGGCATGTGATTCCTCCGACTTGTGTACCGGATAGTTGTATTGTCAATATATATGACGAAGGAGATTGTATACCTCCGCATATCGATAACCTTGACTTCCTTCGACCTTTCTGCACAATCTCGTTCCTCAGTGAGTGTGATATTCTCTTTGGATCAAATCTCAAAATCTTAGGCCCTGGTGAATTCTCCGGTTCTTACTCCATACCTCTTCCTGTCGGGTAAGGTTTCTCTGTTTTCTTTTTTCTTCTTTTAACTTTGTAACCATTTTGAAACATTTTTCTATTTTCAGATCGGTTCTAGTCCTAAAGGGGAATGGAGCCGATGTCGCTAAGCATTGTGTACCTGCGGTTCCCACAAAGAGGTAACGTTTGTTTTATGTCTAACATTTGTAAAGCTTTTTTTATACACATATTGTTTATTAACTTAAGAGTTATATGTCTTGTTGTGTTTGCAGGATATCGATCACGTTTAGGAAAATGAACGAGTCGAAAAGACCATTCGGATTCACACCGGAACCTGATTTGCAAGGGATTAAGCCGTTGCCATACGAACATACAGCGCCGACGAGTGCTGCTGCTGAAGCCATTAGCTCTTCAAGATCAAACGATGACCAAAATGGTAGCAATTACAACAAGCGAGGAAGCAAGCCTCACGAGCCGAGAGGTTATCGTTCTGAGAGTCGAGAGTGGTCATCATCATCAAGCCAAAGAAATGGAATGTCACGACACACTCATAACCGAGAGTTTAGACCCAAGGTTAAAGCTAGCTCCGACAACGTCTGAGATTTTTGTTGTAATACGAGAATTAATGTTTGATTTTTGACCACAGAAGAAAAGGGAATATGATCTTTAGGAGACTCGGATATGTTATTTGTAGTTTCTTTTGTACATGAAGATTCATCGTGTGAAACCTCAAAACTTTATTTCTAAAAGAAAAGTAGAAAGCACAACAAAAACTGAAACTGAATATAACGCTCGAAAAACACGAAACCCGTGTAAATGCGAATCAATACAGATGTATCTATCTACGTATCGCTTATCTAAGTTATAAAATCCGTTTGACGAAAAAAACAAAAACTATAGAATCCATTAGGATTTTCTTCTCCATTAGTGAGAAATTGAAAATTGATCCAATTGGACATTTTATAAATTAAAAATTGGACCTTTATAAATAACTCGGTCTGCGCAATTTGGTTGCACTGGTACGCTCTCTTCTTCTCAAGGTTTCTCTCTCTCTAAAGGGAGTCTCTCGCTGAGACACCAAAAAGGAAATGAGAGGGAAAATTGCGTAATCTTCCATCGTTTTCATCGAGCTCGTCACTGATAATCGACGATACCACCTCAACTCTCTCTTTGAAATCAGTAAAATTTGATAAACCCTTGCCTACTTTCTGACCTAGTCGACCACCTTTGGGCTTGGTGTCAGCAATCGTCTCCGTGATCAACCGGGAAAAAACCCCTTTCCGGCGTCAGCGAGGAGGAAATTTAGGCGCCGCGACGGAGCTCTGAGACGGCGTTTCGCTTGTCCGGCTCAGCTTATTTTTTCGTTTAGCCATGAGTCCAATTCACAATTTTGAGCAGCTCTCCCGTCGTCTCGTCGAGCCTGACCTATGTAATCTCACTCGCTCTCTTCTCTTTCTCTCCTTGTCTTCTTTCTATCGTAATTGCGCTGTTTGCTCGCTAAGAGAAGCTCTGAGTTTTGATTTGAAAAAAAAAATTGATTTGTAATTTTGTCCGCTAATTCTTACTCTGGAAATAGTGTTTTTGCTTATGATTCTGAGGAATTTTTGTTTAAATGTGTCCTGTAGCTATTCAGACGAGGCTTGAGATAGTGATGGAGGTCAGAGAAAGTCTAGATATAACACATACGGCTGAGTACTTGAATTTTCTAAAATGCTACTTCAGGGCATCTTCGGTGATTCTTCTTCAGATTACAAAGCCTCAGCTCACTGACAATCCTGAGCACAGACTACGTAACCTGGTGGTTGAGATCCTCAAAAGTCTACCGCATACCGAGGTTCTTCGTCCCTTTGTTCAGAACCTCTTGAAAGTTGCAATGCAGGTGCTCACCACAGATAATGAAGACAATGGGTTGATATGCATTCGCATAATCTTTGAACTTCTTAGGAACTTTAGGCCTGCACAAGAAAGTGAGGTTCAACCATTCTTGGACTTTGTCTGCAAGATTTACCAGAACTTCAGATTGATGGTCAGCCATGCTTTCGACGACAATGTCAAAATGGAGGAGGTGAAACCTGTGGAGATGTCTACACCATCTGATCAGTCGATGTCCCTTACCGCACATTCTAGGAATGGGAAGATTAACCCGAGTACGCGTTCATTCAAGATAGTCACAGAGAGCCCCCTCGTTGTCATGTTTATATTTCAGCTGTATGGCAAACTTATTCAGACCAATATTCCTAATTTGCTGCCCCTAATGGTTGCTGCTATATCGGTCCCTGGACCTGACAAAGTTTCTTCACATTTGAAGACTCAGTTCATCGAACTGAAAGGTGCTCAGGTTAAGGTGAGACAATGGTTCTCTAGTGAAAATACATTTCGTTAAGGCCACATTACCTCCTTGTTTCACCTTTTTATTCTTTTGTTTATTTGCAGACGGTTTCTTTTTTGACGTATTTGTTAAAAAGTTGTACCGAATATATCAGACCGCATGAAGAAAGCATCTGTAAGAGCATTGTGAATTTGCTTGTCACCTGTTCGGATTCTGCATCTATCAGAAAGGTGGTGAACCGTCTGTTCCTTTCTCTTCAGTATGTTTTCACCTTGTGAAACGATCGTTGGCTTGCAGCTAAAGGGTTTTTTTTATGGTCTTTGAAATGCAGGAACTATTAGTCGCACTAAAGCAGGTACTTGGGACGGATTTCAAGAGAGGTTTATTTCCTCTTATTGACACTCTTTTGGAAGAAAGGTACAATGCGGGTTTCGCCTTTCTAAAACTTCTACCCCTGCCGGAAAGCTGTTTTAGTTTATTAAGTAGACCTTCTGTTATGTATAATCCACCGTGCCACAGTATCTATTTCCAGATATTGACTTTTGTAATCTATTCGCTGTTTTTTTTTCTCTGTGTCAGGGTTCTAGTTGGAACGGGGCAAGCATGCTTTGAGTCTTTGAGACCTCTAGCTTACAGCCTACTGGCCGAGATTGTTCACCATGTTCGAGCAGATCTGTCCCTTTCCCAGGTTCTTCCGTTTTTTCTCGTCCTTAATCGACTCTATGGTCAATTTTTCTTATACAGTTCTTCTTATTTGACTGTAAACAATGTGGCAGTTATCAAGGATCATCTACTTATTTTCAAGGAACATGCATGACTCAACCCTTTCTCTGAACATCCACACAACTTGTGCACGACTCATATTAAATCTGGTAAAGCTACATATTCTACTTTCTTTGGCTTATCTAAATTTGGTATATTACTTTACACTTGTGTGGCGTAATCTGTCCACTATGTTTGAATCGAGATTTTGGTAAAACTTAAAGACTTATATTGGGTTCAGGTAGAACCAATATTTGAGAAAGGTGTTGATCAGCAGTCAATGGATGAAGCGCGGATATTGTTGGTATAGCTTTACCCCTGCGAGCTCACTTTAGAATTGGTTGGCTGCTCTAATCATTAACCTTTTCTACTCATCATCTGTTTATAGGGACGTATCCTGGATGCCTTTGTTGGTAAATTCAATACCTTCAAGCGTACTATTCCTCAGGTACATCTGGCTGCTTTCCAACTTCCATATTGTTTCAGCATTTTGGCTTTGTTTTTTTTCCTTTTATCTTTTGTAAATGTTTGCTTGATATGCCATGTTTGTCTTTCGCTGCAACTGACAACTGATTTTTTTTCTGTTATGCTTTATTTGAGATATCGTGAACCTTTAGCTATCCCGATTGTCGCCTTTTTTTATTCCGTTGATGCCGTTACTTAGTCTTGCTTTCTGCTTCATAGCTTTTAGAGGGTGAGGGAAAGGATCTTATCACTCTGAGGTCAAAGCTTGAACTTCCTGTCCAGGTAATTACATATTATATCTATGATGGGTGTTTTGTCTAGCAAGTTGCCAAATTATCATCCAATGTGAGATCATGTTCCACTGTTTATATTCAAATTTGGTGGTACCACAATGTTCGTTAATCGTTAGTGTTCTTTTTTTCTCTTTAATTGAAAGTCTACTTTCTTTCGTAAATTGGATTATAATTTAGGCGGAAATATTTATTTCTAAGCCCGATATTATTTGTAGTGAAGCATTATTTCCTTTCTAAATAGTTTCTAATATTAACTTTAGACCACGCTGGTTGCAGGCAGTTTTGAATTTGCAGGCTCCTGCTGAACGTTCCAAAGAAGTGAATGATTGTAAGAATCTGATCAAGACGCTGGTGATGGGTATTGAATCTTGGCCGTACTCACTTTTCACCTTAGTGGATCAGTTATACATATTGATCATGTTTCTCTATGTTAAGGGCTTTTCCTGATTTATGTTCAGGAATGAAGACAATCATATGGAGTATAACCCATGCACATTTACCCCGACCTCAGGGAATGCATCCACAATCTCTTGCTTCACAATCATCAGTTACTCAGGTTTTTAAAGGAATGAGAGGAGATGAGGTATTGCATGTGAGATTGTTTAGTGTAGACATGAAAATGCATGGCTGATAACCTCTAGTAATCTCTAACTTCAAACAGGTGTGGAAAGCCTCTGGTGTTTTAAAGAGTGGTGTCCATTGTTTAGCCCTCTTCAAAGAGAAGGATGAGGAGAAGGAGATGCTAAATCTTTTCTCCCAAATGTTGGCTATTATGGAACCTCGAGATCTAATGGACTTGCTCTCTATATGTATGCCCGAACTTTTTGCGTGCATGATTGACAAAACTCAACTGGTTCAAATATTTGCCACTCTTCTGCAAGCTCCCAAAGTGTACAAGCCATTTGCAGATGTTCTGATTCATTTCCTAGTAAGCAGCAAACTGGATGTTCTGAAAAATCCGGATTCAGCTGCAGCTAAATTAGTTCTGCATTTATTCCGGTGCCTCTTTGGGGCTGTTTCTAAAGCACCATCTGATTTTGAACGAATATTGCAACCTCAAGTGCCTGTTATAATGGAAGTCTGCATGAAGAATGCGACTGAAGTTGAAAAGCCACTTGGTTATATGCAATTGCTCCGAACTGTTTTCAGAGGACTTGCTGGATGTAAATTTGAGCTGCTTCTTAGAGATTTAATCCCCATGCTACTACCTTGTCTTAATTTGCTTCTGACAATGCTCGAGGGTCCAGCCGGGGAAGACATGAGAGATCTTTTGTTGGAGCTTTCTTTGACGCTTCCTGCACGCTTAAGCTCCCTGTTGCCATACCTTCCCCGCCTCATGAGGTCTCTTATATCGTGTTTGAGAGGAAGTGATGAACTTGTGAGCTTGGGGTTACGCACCCTTGAATTCTGGGTGGATAGTCTGAATCCTGACTTTTTGGAGCCAAGTATGGCAAATGTAATGTCTGAAGTGATCTTAGCATTATGGTCTCACTTGAGGCCGGTGCCATATCCTTGGGGTGGAAAAGCATTACAAATCGTTGGAAAGTTGGGTGGTCGCAACCGGCGATTTCTGAAAGATCCACTTGCACTTGAATGCAAAGATAATCCAGAGCATGGGCTTCGCTTTGTTCTGACATTTGAGCCATCCACTCCATTTCTTGTGCCAATGGACAAATTCATTAATCTTGCTGCAGAGGCTGTTATAAAGAAAAATCTCACTCCAGAAATCTACTACAGAAAGCAAGCTCTAA